ATCTTGCCCAAGAAATACTACTACTACCGCGGCTGCAGTACACATGCTGCCCCTACGACCCTAAGATAAGACAGATTGAAGACCAGCCTTCCCCTATCCCCACTTTTGGTCTTGAGCCGCATTTTTGTATTATTCAAAATAAATATCACTTTCTTCTATGGTATCTAGATTTTATTAATTTAACCGCAGCACTAGATTGGCGGTAAGGTCTCATCGTTTTGCAGTCGAAATGGCAAGTATGTTCTATACTAACACTTCCTTCCCTCGCAATTCTATTTTGTGGAACTCTTCGACTTCTTGCTTCCCAGTTAACTTTGATCTTCAAAAATTTAAATGCAATATCAGTTGTTATCTTTTATCTTCCAAACAGTTCTTTTATTTACACCATTTACATTATTCCGACTATTGTCCTCATCTTTGTTGCCATATTTATTACAACGTTTCGGCCGTTGTACGCTTCGGCCTTCTTCAGGTGGTTGGAATGTCGAACTGAACCCTTTATTTTGCTCGCTGGGGTAGAGTGTTCTAGTTCCACGTGCCATGTCTAAAGGATGTCAGTTATCAGTTATCGCCTGTTAATTCCCCTCTCCAAATGTCAAGGACACATGGCACAGTGGTTAAGGCGTTGGTTAGATCCAGTGACAGGACCCAAAGAGTGTGAGTTCAATACCCGTTTAAAGCGGTGGAGAACTTGAAGAGGGAAATTAACAGGAGATAACTGATAGCTGACAGGTAAGGCTTCAAGAGCACCAGAAAGCTGTAACACGAGGGGAAGTAAAAAAAAAAATCAAGCGTGGCAGACCACATATGGAGAGAGAAGGAGATCACAACTCTTTGTGGGATCATGTTGAGATCATAGACAAGGAACACCATGGGAAAATTCGTAAACTTAAGGAATCAGCACATATGCTACGCCACAAAAATCTCCTGAGCAGACCAAGCATAGAAATAAATACAATATGGGAACCAGTAATAAGGAGTGCCAGAGAAAAGCAATGATAACAACAAAGTTGCAATATGAGCTCTGGTAATGATAACAGCAAAATTGCAATATGAGCACTGGTAAAAATGGTTGCTGAAGACATTAGGTTTATAATACCCAGAAATTCATACCCAAGGACACATGGCACAGTGGATAAAAGCGTTGGTTAGATCCAGTGACAGAACCCAAAGAGCGTGAGTTCAATACCCGGTTAAGGCAGTGGAGAACTTTCAGAGGCAAATTAACAGGAGATAACTGATAACTGACATTCATCAAACATGGAACTGGAACAGAATAAAGGGTTCATTCCAACCACCTGAAGAAGGCCGGAGCGTACAACGGTTAAAACGTTGTGATAAATATGGCGACAAAGATGAGGACAATAGTCCGAATAGTGTACATAATACCTCATCTCAGGAATATAGACAGGTACTGAAGTTCTTTATTGTTCTCTCTACTTAATAATGTTTTTATTTTCTCTAATAACTTTTGCGTCTTAGTATCTTTATTCCCTTGCTTGAGGTGAGATGATTAAATAAATATACATATGTGTGTATGTGCGTATCTTTCAGTTCGAATCATCAACAGCTATCAGACAAGAATTGTTCCAAATGCCCAACTTATCCAGCAAGTTTAATCAAATTATAACAACACTGCCCGGAACATTGGCGACTATTTGCTTTCTTAATTCAATTATATCTGTGTGTGTATGTATGTATGTATGTATGTGTGTGTGTGTGTGTGTGTGTGTGTGTGTGTGTGTGTGTGTGTGTGTGAAATAGCCCTAAAAGAAAATAATCGCTTTACTATTTTTTTTCTTCTTCTTCTGTAATTGTTGTTGTATACGGTGAGATGCGTTCGGTAAGAAAGGTCGAATTCGATCAAGTTTATTGTTGACTTTATTCACTTTGTCGCGACAGTCTTTCATTTGATGATGATGGATAACACCAGTTGGTGTCTTCGTCTTAATTCAATAAAAACTAAACTTCTCATAAAACGAAGAGGACCAGTTAACTCAAGATTTTTTTGAACTAGGATAAATAAATAAATAAACACTTTCTCTTTATGCTAACACGAGCCTATACATGTTCTGGTGCAAACTAATATTTTCTTAGTTAATTTTGGGACGCCGAGACCGAAATCAAGCCTATTTTTACCTTTTTTTTTTTTTTAAATGACTATTTATAGCCAAAATTTCCCATAATGTTCAAATTAATTCTGATTGATTCCTACAAAAAAAAATGTAATTGAATTAATCATTGTCCAGACAGCTGGTTTTTGTATGGTCCTAGCTTACGGCACTTAAGGAAAGTGCTTGAAAAGCCACAAGTTGGTTCATGACTTGTGAGTAAAATTGGGTAACAACGTGTTAAAGTTATTAAAGCCTATTACGAAAATGGACATTCAAATTTATAAATATACGGCCCAATGTTATTGAATTCATCATCTGGACACCTGGTTTTTATATTATATTAATGCATGATCCCAGCTTACGTCACTTAAGAAAAGTGCTTGAAAAGCCACGGGTTGGTTCATGGCATTTGAGTAAAATTGGGTAACAATGTGTTAAATTACTTTTCCATTTTCGTAACATATCTTCCCTGTGACTTTTCTATAAATATAGGTTGTTCCAATAACTTGGACTGATTTTAAATGTGAATTAAGTTTAAGCGTCTAATGATTTTTTTTCTTTTTCTTTCAGATTTGGTGGACATTTGGGTGATATTATTTTTTACACATAATTGCCATGACTTAAATAATATGATCCAATAAAGAAATAAATTTTCACCAATAACACTGATTTATTTACTGCTGACTTTGATCCGTCTTAATGAAACAACCTTGGGTGTTCCAATTAAGTTTAAGCGTCTAATGATTTTTTTTTCTTTTGCTTTCAGATTTAACAACTTAAGTCTTTTGCAATTTTAACCTTGGAAAGATTAACAATCAAACAACGTGTTAAAGTTATCGAAGCCTATTACAAAAATGGACGTTCAAACAGAAATGCATTTCATTGCAGCTTCTCGGGCTAACGTTTTTTTCCACTGACATGACCTGGAAAGATTATATTGAATCAGTCATTAAGTCAGATTCTAGTAAAATTGTTTTACTTCACTGTATCATGCTGAGAAATTTTCTCGCCAGACTTTATCTAAAATATTTATAAATCTACCATTCATTTATGCTTTGAATATTGTTGCCACATCTGATCAAATACTACTGCTATATATTTAGACATTATTGATAAACTGCAATGTTATTGGACCTGATCTGGTACCTTGGCTTCAGTCACTTTCTCACTGCCATAACGTCGCTTTCCTGCACCTTTTATATAAATACTTTCATAGTAATTGTTCTGGTGAATTTTCCTCTGTGGTATTTTATTTTTACCCCTCTCTCTTCAGATAAATTCTACATATGGGAACTAGTTAGAACTACATAGAGACTTTGAGGTATTATGGGGACTGTAGTAAAAATAGTAAATAAGAATATGTTGTTTTGGTGTCAGGAATACTGATCGTAATCATAGCTAGTTAAGTTTAATAAGACAGATTGAAGACCAGCCTTCCCCTCTCCTCACTTTTGGCCTTGTGCCACATTTTTGTATTTTTCAAAATAAATATTGTTTTCCTCGTTAGTATGGGAACTAGTTAGGACTTCATAGAGACATTGTGTCATTATGATGACTGTAGTAAGAATCTGTTGTTTTGCTCTAAGGAATATAATAGTATGTTTCGGGTCAGTAATTCTTACACTCTCAGTAACCTCTTGCATCTTAGTGGCTTTAAAGCCTTCCTTGGGTTGAAATGTTAAAAAAAAAATGATGGAACTATTTATAGGCCGTCGACGTTTACGCTAACACGAAGAAATTGTTGATCACGCCAGATTATGCACTCTCTCCCAGAAATAGTAACTAAGATCTACTCAGCATAATTGCAGAATAAATCCCAGATGGCTCTGTAAGTGGTAAACAAACATAAATGTATCTGAGCAGGCGTCTGCAACAGGGACGGTCTAGCCACACAAGTAGCTGGAATGATGATAGAGAGTTTAATTGCACTGTTCAAATTTCGGGTTGTGGCTTTAGATATCTCAAAGGCATATGACAGGGTTTGCTCCAGTCTTCATAATAAGTCTGATAAAGTAAAACTAGCAACTGCTCTTGAAAAGGACCTCCAATCAGTGGTTAACTGGGGCAAGGAATGACTTGCAAATTTTAATGCCTCCAAAACCAAACTGCTATCTTTTAATCATCAGAGAACATTTTTGCCTTCCATCAGTACGGCTGATGCTAATTTTAAGGAGAGCAATTCACCATGCCTTCTTGGTCTCTTGTTTTTCCACTAGTGGAAAACAAGAAGTTGAGTTAATATATGGATTTAATTGCTAGATCTGCTGCTAAGAAAGTTGGTTCACTGTGTCATGCCAGACAATTCTCATCACAATCCATCTTGAACATTTATAAATCTACCACTCATCTGTGTATTGAATATTGCTGCCATATCTTGTCTGCAGTATATCATGAAAAGGGTCGGTCATATCATGTAATCAGTTCTGACCCAGCATCTTGACTTCAGTTATTTTCCCACCGATGCAATATGGCTTCCCTGTCTTTTCTATAAATATCATCATAACAATTGTTCTAATGAGTTTTCCTCCTTGCTATTTGAAATGCATGAATTTAAGCGTACTACTGGATTGACAACTAGGTTTCATCATTTTACTGTTGAAATAACGAGATGTAACCCCCAAGTTCTATTCTGATAGTTTTTCTCACAAATGCAACATCAAATGCCATCTACTGTCTTCCTAAATTTTGTTCCTTTATTGTTCTTTATAGTTTCTAATAGCTTCAAATTTTCTTTCAATCTGTTCAGTAAGCGCTTGCAGCGTAGTGGAATTAACATCTTGCTTAGGGTGAAATGACAAAAAAAAAAAAAAAAAAAAAAAAGGAAAAATGAGAAAAAAAGATAAGGGAAAGAGGTAAAAAGGGGAAAAAGATAAAAAGGGAAAAAACAGAAAAAATAAAAAGGAAAAAAAGACAAAGATAAAAAGGGAAAAAGTGAAAAAAGAGAATAGAAAAACGGAAAAACAGAGAAAAAAGGGAAAAAGAAAATAGAAAAAAATGATAAAAAGGGAAAAGATAAAAAGGGAAAAAAGAGAAAAAAAGAAAAAGAAAAAAAGAGAAAAGGAAAAAAGAGAAAAAGAAAAAGAGAAAAAGAGAAAAGGAAAAAGATAAAAAAGGAAAAGAGAAAAAAAGAAAAAGAAAAAAAGAAAAAGAAAATAGGAAAAAAAAGAGAAAAAAGGAAAAAAGAAAGGAGAAAAAGGAAAAAAGGAAAAAAGGTAAAAAGGTAAAAAGGGGAAAAAAAAAGAATAAAATAGTTTACTTTCAGATTTTTATTTATGCAATTAAATATTTAAAGTTATTATTATTAAAATTATTAAGTACAATTATCCAAAGAAAGCCAAGAAAAAAAAAATCAATGTATTAGCAGACAGAACTCCCCCCACTTACAAATAAGAATTCTTTATTGTATATAAAAAAAAAAAAAAAAAAAAAAAAATGCAGTGTTCCTTTATTGGTATTATTAAGAAGAGGACATAAGGCAGTTTGAATGAAATAAGTCACAATGCATTTTATATTATTATGTCAGGCATGATGCACAATTGGCTGATCTCGTCTCTTTTCAATTCAGGATTGACTTGTCAGAATTCCTGCAGTAGACTGCTGTTACTTTCTGCAGTAGACAGGTTACCATCCAAGGCTATAAGATACAGCGTGTCCTGCTATTTAACGCACAGCTGCAAGGGTGGACTCATACCTTTTCCAAGGGCTCTCTAATTTCTCATTCTGAGCCATAACAGTACATGCACATCCAAGCTTACAGCACCTGGTATTCTCCAAGCGGTCACCCATCTAGATACTGACCAGGCTAAACATTGCTTAACCACTGTTCAAATGAGAACTGGTGTTTAGAACATATAGTAGAGCAATTAATGGCCAATTCGGCTTTTGTGGCTAGAATTAATGCAGAGTTACAATTACAAAATAAAAGAGACGCAAGCAAATAAAGAACACAACGATGTGGTAAAAGAAAAATATTTTATTTATTGTGTCAAGATTAAAATGTGGTTGGTTTTGGCAGAAAAAAAACAAACAAAACAAAACAATGCTGTTGACTCAAGTAAATAAACGGATTGTACTGTCAGCGCCACTGGAGAAGAGCCATGGTTGTGTAGGATGGAACTGGCAGTCCAACACTCCAAGACTGTGGAATCCATCATGGCCATGCAGGATCTTTACAGGAACCAGCAAAGGGTTTTGAAGCAAATCACTAAGAGAGAGAAAAAAAAAAAAAATAAATGAAATTTTGAATGTTAGTTTTAATTTAAAAATAAACTGTTTTAATTAGATTAATTTTCATCTTAAATTATGAGATGAGGTGTTTATTATACAAATATTTTTGCAAATCAATTTCCTTTTCTTTTTGTCTTTACCACATTAATAAAGCTTTTCTAATTAAATAACATCTTTGTTTTATTGCATTTTTTTATATTACAATTCAGGGCAGATTTTTCAGTAAAACAAGGTCTAATTGTACCGTCCAGCCTTTCTTCTGTTTAAATGCTTAGAACAAGGTTTTTTTGGGTTTTTTTTTTTTACTATTATACACTAGCATACTGCCCATCAAAACTAATGTATCAGCATACTGCCCATCAAAACTAATGTATCAGCATTTCTACTTAATATCAGAGCATCTGTGCACACTACCTACAATGAGCGTTTAGCTGAAAATTAGTGTAATATCGGTGCAGTTATATATATAGTTATATCAATGGGCCCTTAAGATTGTCTGCTTTTTTTTTTTTATATATATATATATATATATATATATATATATATACACACACACACAATTGTTATCTTGACACTAAGGTTAAGTACAATTTTTTTTCATGAAAATAATAAACATAAGCTAAAAATTCTTGAAGCTATCTATATTAAAAAATTGAAACCAACCCTTAAAAAAAATTAAATATGAATACTGTACAAATGTTTTAAAATGTTTACAATAGATACTTTAAAATATCTAGGTTTTACTCATATCTTTAAATAGTTTTTCTTTTTTAAAAATATTGAGACATTTCAATAAATTAGTTACCTCCCTTGACGTTTGCACATATGTCTATATGATAAAATTTAAAAATTGTACAGTACATAACTTTAGTGTTTTTTTTACTTCACACATAAAAATTTAATTTCAGATCAACACAATTTTTTGTCTTAGAAAAAACAAGACCCTGGTGATGACATTGTGCTAATGTCGAAAGAACTCTGAATAAAATGAATATGCATCAACATGGTAATTTTCTTTCTTTCTTTAACAAGGATACGATGAAACTTGTGCATAATTACAAGAGGATCCTATTAAAATTAAGTAGACAAAACTTGTCTAAATTATTTAATGGGACACACACACACATATATATACATATATCATAATAATAATAATAATAGACATAAACATAGCTACCTCCATAGATTCACAATGCCTAAGATTTAAAATAAATTTTCAAAAATAAAAAAATCTTTCTTGAAACTTTTATTTTAGATTTAATTTCAAGCTAATAGATTAAATTTAATATTTCCAATAAGCAAAATACTTTGCTCTATTTCAAAACTAATTTAAATTGATTGAAAGGAGTTTTTGTTTTTAAACTTCCAAATTTATTTTCAATTTAGGGCCCTTTTTAGCTTTCATGTCATTTCAATGTAATTCACTTCATTAAAAAAAAAAAAAAAAAAAAAAAAAAATCTTCCAAAAATAAAATATACTATTCCAAAACTTTATTAGAGAAATGTTAGGTGATTTAAAGTATAATTAATTTGATTTGAAACAAATATTATTTACTTTAATTTTAAAATATCACAGAAATGCATTTTTTTAACACAACAGTAGCTGTTTATTTAAGCAGTTGATGTGTTTGACAGCTTGATGACAGATGTATGTTTATCTAATATTGTTCTACAAGGCCTTATGCCTTTTATATATAATTTTTAAGTACTCGCTAATCTTAAAAAATTAGGAAAATATACCCCGTAATCTAATGATTTATTGAATTTTAGATACTCTGGGTTTAAATTTACTATCAGTCAGTCAGTTTTATGTGCCATGCGCGATACATGCATAGGCGATCATGTATCTTTCGATACATGACTGATGAGGCAGATTTTTTCTTACAGTAGGTTGCCAATACTTTCTGTGGTAGACCAGTTGCCATCCAAGACTATAGGACCCGGTCTGTTCTGCTATTTATCCATAGCTGGGGAGGAGAAGAAGAGGATTCATACCTTTCCCCAGGGTATTAGTCTATAAGTGGATGTAATAGATTTGACTGGAATTTGAACTTGGCTCTCCGATTCCTCAATCCAAGCCGCTATCCATTACTCCACCGTGCCTCCTATTTACTATAGCTATTGCTATTATTTTCTGATAATGTCGTGTATGAAGATCAGTATCTACAAAAATTGGCACATTTATACACATATAAAAACAATTCATAATTCTTTTTAAAATACTGGGCAACCTAAGATTGTAATAAGCTTTTTAATCTATGATTAGTAAATAGAGTTTTACTTAATAACAATATTCTCTATCAGTTATACCATTGAAACTGAATTTTAAAAGATTTTAAAATATGTTTTAATCATTCTAATTTAAATTTAAAAACTGAAAAAAATGTTTTAAGACAATATTGCCCTTAATATATATAATTCCTAAAAGCAATTAAAAAAAAAAAAAAAGCTTTTCTAATTCAATAATGTGTTAGTTTTATTGCCTTTTTTAATGTTTCAGCAGATTTTCGCTAAGATAGGGTCCAATTTTACAAAAAATTATTGATGATTTAATTTCTCCAAAGAGTTTTGCTTTTAACTAGTCACTAAAGATTATCTCGTTGAATTCTTAATAAAGATTTTGACGATAAAATTAGTTTTCATCAAGTTTGGGGTATTTTTTTCATTATAGTATGCTCTTTTTTTAGCAAATTAATAGAAGTACTTAGATAAAGGTATCAATAAATATAAAACTTGTACAAGAGTCGGGAGGAAAAAACTGCGCAGAAGTCAGGAGGTAAATTGTAGAAAAAGTAGAGTAAAAAAACAATTGCACATAGATGAAAGGAGGAAAAACTGCACACAGATGAGACAAAAAATTGCACACAGATGTATGTGTGTAAAACCTGCAAAGAAGTGAGGAAAAAAAAAAGTAAGATATAAACTAAATCCAAGATAAAGACATTGATATCTGCAAGTGAAAATAAATACATACTTGTAAACCATTCCATGGCAAACGATGATTGAACAATCATCTGAAGCAGATGCAAAAAGTGGATAAGTTCTGTGGTAGCAAACCTGTCGAATGGCTTTCTTGTGGTGCCTGAAAACAGGAGAAAAGAATTCAAGAAATTCCATCCAAACTTCATTTTGCTTGGGAAAGTGGATATAAAAGAAAGATGATGACTTCTAAAACCTCTTCCATTGCAGAATAATGTTTAGAAGTAAGTGTTTCCTATTGAAGTATTACTCAATTAGAATATTAATTTGTTGAGAAATTTTGCAATATTTTTTTATATAAAATACTTTCTTTTATTTTTCATCTAAATCAGACCCTCAAAAAAGTTTTTTTAACAATTGTAGTATTTTTTTTCATTATTTTATCATGTTAAAATAAAACTAAGAAAGAAAGACAAAGAAAGAAAAGAAAGAAAGAAAGACAAAGAAAGAAAAGAAAGAAAGAAAGACAAAGAAAGAAAAGAAAGAAAGAAAGACAAAGAAAGAAAAGAAAGAAAGAAAGACAAAGAAAGAAAAGAAAGAAAGAAAGACAAAGAAAGAAAAGAAAGAAAGAAAGACAAAGAAAGAAAAGAAAGAAAGAAAGACAAAGAAAGAAAAGAAAGAAAGAAAGACAAAGAAAGAAAAGAAAGAAAGAAAGACAAAGAAAGAAAAGAAAGAAAGAAAGACAAAGAAAGAAAAGAAAGAAAGAAAGACAAAGAAAGAAAAGAAAGAAAGAAAGACAAAGAAAGAAAAGAAAGAAAGAAAGACAAAGAAAGAAAAGAAAGAAAGAAAGACAAAGAAAGAAAAGAAAGAAAGACAAAGAAAGAAAAGAAAGAAAGAAAGACAAAGAAAGAAAGAAAAGAAAGAAAGAAAGACAAAGAAAGAAAAGAAAGAAAGAAAGAAACAAAGAAAGAAAAGAAAGAAAGAAAGACAAAGAAAGAAAAGAAAGAAAGAAAGACAAAGAAAGAAAAGAAAGAAAGAAAGACAAAGAAAGAAAAGAAAGAAAGAAAGACAAAGAAAGAAAAGAAAGAAAGAAAGACAAAGAAAGAAAAGAAAGAAAGAAAGACAAAGAAAGAAAAGAAAGAAAGAAAGACAAAGAAAGAAAAGAAAGAAAGAAAGACAAAGAAAGAAAAGAAAGAAAGAAAGACAAAGAAAGAAAAGAAAGAAAGAAAGACAAAGAAAGAAAAGAAAGAAAGAAAGACAAAGAAAGAAAAGAAAGAAAGAAAGACAAAGAAAGAAAAGAAAGAAAAAGAAAGACAAAAGAAAGAAAAGAAAACAAAGAAAGACAAAGAAAGAAAGAAAAAGAAAGAAAGACAAAGAAAGAAAAGAAAGAAAGAAAGACAAAGAAAGAAAAGAAAGAAAATAAAGAAAGAAAAGAAAGAAAAGAAAGAAAGAAAAGAAAGAAAGAAAGACAAAGAAAGAAAGAAAGACAAAGAAAGAAAGAAAGACAAAGAAAGAAAGAAAGACAAAGAAAGAAAGAAAGAAAGAAAGACAAAGAAAGAAAAGAAAGAAAGAAAGACAAAGAAAGAAAAAAAGAAAGAAAGACAAAGAAAGAAAAGAAAGAAAGAAAGAAAACAAAGAAAACAAAGAAAGAAAGAAAACAAAGAAAAGAAAGAAAGAAAGACAAAGAAAGAAAACAAAGAAAGAAAAGAAAACAAAGAAAACAAAGAAAGAAAGAAAACAAAGAAAGAAAACAGAAAGAAAGAAAACAAAGAATAAAAGAAAGAAAGAAAGACAAAGAAAGAAAAGAAAGAAAGACAAAGAAAGACAAAGAAAGAAAGAAAGACAAAGAAAGAAAAGAAAGAAAGAAAGACAAAGAAAGAAAAGAAAGAAAGAAAGACAAAGAAAGAAAAGAAAGAAAGAAAGACAAAGAAAGAAAAGAAAGAAAAGAAAAAAGACAAAGAAAAGAAAAGAAAGAAAGACAAAAAGAAAGAAAAGAAAGAAAAAAAAGAAAAAAGAAAGAAAAGAAAAGAAAGAAAAGAAAACAAAGAAAAGACAAAGAAAGAAAAGAAGACAACGAAAAGACAAAGAAAGAAAAGACAAAGAAAGAAAAGAAGACAACGAAAAGACAAAGAAAGAAAAGAAAGAGACAAAGAAAAGACAAAGAAAGAAAAGACAAAGAAAGAAAGAAAAAGACAAAGAAAGACAAAAGAAAGAAAGAAAGACAAAGAAAGAAAGAAAAAAGAAAGAAAGACCAAAACAAAGAAAGAAAGAAAAGAAAGAAAGAAAGAAAAAGAAAGAAAGAAAAGAAAGACAAAAGAAAAGAAAGAAAAGAAAGACAAAGAAAGAAAGAAAAGAAAGAAAAGAAAGAAAGACAAAAAGAAAAGAAAGAAAGAAAGACAAAAAGAAAAGAAAGAAAGAAAGACAAAAAGAAAAGAAAGAAAGACAAAAAGAAAAGAAAGAAAGACAAAAAGAAAAGAAAGAAAAGACAAAGAAAGAAAAGAAGACAACGAAAAGACAAAGAAAGAAAAGAAAGACAAAGAAAGAAAAGAAAGACAAAGAAAGAAAAGAAAGACAAAGAAAGAAAAGAAAGACAAAGAAAGAAAAGAAAGACAAAGAAAGAAAAGAAAGAAAGAAAGACAAAGAAAGAAAGAAAGACAAAGAAAGAAAGACAAAGAAAGAAAGACAAAGAAAGAAAGAAAGAAAGACAAAGAAAGACAAAGAAAGAAAGACAAAGAAAGAAAAGAAAGAAAGACAAAGAAAGAAAAGAAAGAAAGAAAGACAAAGAAAGAAAAGAAAGAAAGAAAGACAAAGAAAGAAAGAAAGAAAGAAAGACAAAAAAGAAAAGAAAAAGACAAAGAAAGAAAAAAGAAAGAAAAGAAAGAAAGAAAAGAAAGAAAGACAAAGAAAGAAAAAGAAAGAAAGAAAAAGAAAAGAAAGAAAGACAAAGAAAGAAAAGAAAGAAAGAAAGACAAAGAAAGAAAAGAAAGAAAGAAAGACAAAGAAAAGAAAAGAAAGAAAGAAAGAAAGAAAAGAAAGAAAGACAAAGAAAGAAAAGAAAGAAAGACAAAGAAAGAAAAGAAAGAAAGACAAAGAAAGAAAAGAAAGAAAGACAAAGAAAGAAAAGAAAGAAAGACAAAGAAAGAAAAGAAAGAAAAGAAAGACAAAGAAAGAAAAGAAAGACAAAGAAAGACAAAGAAAGACAAAGAAAGAAAAGAAAGACAAAGAAAGAAAAGAAAGACAAAGAAAGAAAAGAAGACAAAGAAAGACAAGAAGACAAAGAAAGAAAGAAAGACAAAGAAAGACAAAGAAAGACAAAGAAAGAAAGAAAGAAATACAAAGAAAGAAAGAAATACAAAGAAAGAAAGAAATACAAAGAAAGAAAGAAATACAAAGAAAGAAAGAAAGAAATACAAAGAAAGAAAGAAAGAAATACAAAGAAAGAAAGAAAGAAATACAAAGAAAGAAAGAAAGAAATACAAAGAAAAAAGAAAGAAATACAAAGCAAAAAAGAAAGAAAGAAATATAAAGAAAAAAGAAAGAAATACAAAGCAAAAAAGAAAGAAAGAAATATAAAGAAAAAAGAAAGAAATACAAAGCAAAAAAGAAAGAAAGAAATATAAAGAAAAAAGAAAGAAATACAAAGCAAAAAAGAAAGAAATACAAAGAAAGAAAGAAAGAAAGAAAGAAAGAAAGAAAGAAATACAAAGACAGAAAAAAAAACTATCAAATGAAGACTATAACTTTCATAAAACTCCAATGAAAGAATTCTTCTCTAAAAGAGTATGATGAGGGTAATTTCCCTTTATTGTGTGGCTGCATTTTCATTTTAACTTGGAATTGTAATGAGCCCAATAAAATAATATAAAAATAAAAATGTACAAATAGAAAAAAATTTAAATTAAAACAGAGCATGTCTTCTTATTTTATCTCTTTTTCTATCTTTCTCTCTATATATGTTTATCTCTCAAATAAAAAAAGAAGACTAAAAGACTAACTCTGGCCAAAAAACACCAGATATTCACCGTCCAGCAGCTAAATATTTTTTTTGCAACCCCCCTGTAAATTCATAGCATTATTATTCAGTCATCAAAATATTTTGCCTCACCTTCTATGGCCTTGCACCACCTATTAGCTAAATATACATTTTCCAGCATAAAAGAAGAATGATTCCAATTTCTGCCACTTCTGTTTGGCTGAAAGCCAAGATGAATAAATGCTCAGCAGTAACAGAAACTGTGACTTTGCCAATTCAGGTCAAAATATATGTGGCACATAGCAGAAGACTGGACTTACTGTTCAAGTAACCTGAAGTTTCTTTCTTACAATATCAATCAGATCCAATTACAGTCTCGGTTTGCAAGTGGTGCTCAATCCATGCCAAGAATGGATCCATACAGCCTTTGCCCATTGGCAAACAAAACAACAAAAGCACACAGATAACTGGAATGATGCCAAATGCTCCAAAAGTAATGCATCCTAATTATTTCCACAAAAACTACAATGAATGCAGAAATTACAATAACGCTGTTGAATAAAGCAACATGTGCTCACATTCACTGATTGGTCTCCATAAATGTTCAAACATTGATGAATCCCAATGAATGTAATTTTGGGGGTGGGGGGGCAGTTGAGAGTAATTCAATGACATACCTCTGCTTTGTATGCCCTTGCATGTCAGACAAAATAATAAAAGAGGAGGCATTACTTTCAGAGCAACCCTTATACATTATATTGCAACAAAAAAAAAGTAAATTATGGGTTATTGACAGGAAGGTTCAACTTCTACTGTCAATACCGCTTCTGGCACTGTGGGATGGCATAATAAAACAGAAGGGATTATTTTTAGAGTGAAATTGCAATCCACCTCTCTCAAAGCTGTCAATGGGCATAACAGCTTTTTACTATTACAACTGCCTAGGCAGGTAAGATCGTTAGCAACTCTTTTCCAAAATGATAAATTGGGTTAAAGAATGTAAATAGCTTAAAAAAAAAAAAAATAATAAAAAGTATGAGTTTAATGGTCTGAATAATTCTTACAAACATTTTTTTTAAATGTTTGACAAATTTTGTTATTTCCAGAATCATTGCTTATGAAATAATTTCTCCCCAGAATTAAGAAAGAATGATTTATCAATCAAAAATTTCATTTGTTTTTCTGTAAATTAAGATTTATACTTACCGAAGTGTTTTGTATGGTTTAGTAGAAAGATCTAAATCAAACCAGCTGAGACGACAGTCATAGCTACCAACAATCACATTGTCACCTGAAGGAGGAGGAGGAAGAAGAAAGAAGAAAAAATATATTCTTGTTTGACTAACTTTAAAAAATGAAAATGGCAGCCATATTTAAGTAATTTTCCAGTTGTATTAGTTATATCTTCTGTACGTGTAATCTTGGCTTTTTATCCGTACAATATTTAATCTCCTTCAAAGTAGTTCCTTTCTGAAAGCAAACCCTCCAATCTCCATTGTCACATGTCAGAAGATTTCTCATTAAATCATTAAATGTAAAAAATATCCAAAGAAAGCTAACACAAATCTTTTACATATTATTCTATAGTCACTCGTTAACCAATACAGTCAAAAATTGGCAACATTTAGCTCTCTGCATCATTTATAAATATTACTTCCCCTTTTAGTGTATACAGAATCCCTCAAAATATAGGGTTTTATATTTTAGTTCTATATATATTTGAAATTGCAGTAGCCTGGCTCCCAATTTCAGTCAAGATTGTTTTAGTTGTTGCTGTAGAAGGATATGACTACACAACCAAGAAATTCAAATTGCATTGGTAGGACTAACATTTTGCTTGGCAAAAATAGTCACTGATAGAGTGCTAAAAGTTAAAGTAATTTTACAGATGCATTGGTCATATTTTCAGTATGAATAATCTCAAATTTTTTTTTATCTGTACAATGAATTTTATTATAACAAGTCAGAACAATTTTAGAATTTTAAAAACATTAAAAGTATTGTGTGTGTGTGTGTGTATATATATATATATATATATATATATATATATATATATATATATATAGGCAGCATATTTTCATTCAAGCATGTTTGGTTAAATATGTATTATATTTATTTATTTTAGTTTTAATTCTTTCAAGTCCACGAACTGATTTCTTGATCACTGTAGAAAATTGATCAAGAAAAATTCGAAATTGTTCTTTCAAATAATTTTTATTTTCACAAATACTTTCAATTCCATCCGAGACCATCTTCAGGAGTTGCATATCTATGGATATGTTATGCATTAACACCATGAATTCAAAATATTTTTTTGCCACTATGCAAGGGAAGTAACTTATGACATTTTTTTTATTTTAATTGTAGTATTTTTTTTATATAACACTTTGCTGCTACAAACATTTAAGAACTTTATTGCTATACTTGTAGCTGAAGTTTTTGCATATTATTATCTTGATGAAGCACTGATGTATTTTCAATTAATATCTATCTAAACTGAATATGGACATGAGTGTTCCTTTAAATGTTCTGAGATTGAACTATGTATAACTATCGATTGTGTGTGTGTGTGTGTGTGTTATTTATTTTAGTTTTAATTCTTTCAAGTCCACGAACTGATTGCTTGATCACTGTAGAAAATTGATCAAGAAAAATTTGAAATTTTTCTTTCAAATAATTTTTATTTTCCCAAATACTTTCAATTCCATCCGAGACCATCTTCAGGGGTTGCATATCTATGGATATGTTATGCATTAACACCATGAATTCAAAAATTTTTTTGCCACTATGCAAGGGAAGTTTTTATAATATATATATATATATATATATATATATATATATATATATATATATATATATATATATATATATATATATATATATATAATATATAAAATATATACATACATACATACATGGCAAGAGTCTGATCAAAAAGTATCAGGTGCTATTAAAAAAGAAAACTAAAACACAATTTTTTTTTATTTAAATCTCCTTCAAAGAAGACCTCTTCTGAAAATACACACTTTATCCAGCATCATTTCCATTTATGGGGGCATTACAGGAACTCCTTTTTTGTAATAGTGTGCAGCTACCTTGTTGCATTTTCTTGGAGTGCCTCAACGCCTTGAAATCTTGTTCAAGTGAGATTTGTTTTTTCAATAGGAAAAAGTCACAAAGAGCAAGATTTGGAGGATATGGTGGCTGTCACACACATGGAATGTTGTGCTTGGCCAAAACCTGGTCACTGATGGAATCTGTTGTGTGGCAAGATGACCACACTCTACACACTTAACTTAGAAGCATTGCTATAAACAAAAGGAAGTGAGCAAGAACATTATAACTTAGTGTGCATCTGTGCCAAGTAGCTTCACTTAGAGTGTCACAGCAATAGTCCCGATACCTCTGATCGAACCTCACTATATAAGTAAAAAACAATAGGAAAACTGACACGTTTCGTGGACTTTTTAAAGACAAAAACGAAATAAATTTATTGAATAAGTAACTATTAACAAAAAACAAAATGTCCTTAGCAACAAGAAGAATTTAGGAAATGCTATTGTATCCATATTGTCAACTGAAAATTACATCATGTACTTTCACGTGTGGAAATATTGTTTTTATTGTTGTGTTGATAGAATCAACCATTTTCTTGTGATTTCTTTTGATTTTATAGTTGTGTACATTGGCTTGGGAGAGTAGTAATTCTGTTAGGAAAGGTGATATTGGAAAAAAAATGTAGGTTAATATTTGGATAATATTCAATGGTGGCACTCCTGAGGATTTTCTTTCTGAGTGAGTTATTTTCTTTTTTTTATGAGTGAGTATTTTTTAAAATCAAAATTGTTGTTGAATTTATTTCTATGTATGACTAGTGCATTAGTTGTTTTTTGTGAGGCCTCTTTTTTACTGATTAACTCTTGAGAAAATTTTCACACACACTCATATATATATAAAGAGAAATATATACAAGGTAAGAGCTTCAACTGTAAAAGCTGAAGCACTTTTGATGAGAGAGGGGATGAACCTCCCTCCATTAAGAAATGAAATAAATTAGATAAAAACATTGCAGTAGTCAACTGGTAGAGTGAATGTTCATGTATTGTCAATACTAAGCTTGCAGCATGAGAAAGATGGAAGTTAGGAAGATCATGTAGTGTCAATCTACCAAGTGGGAAGAGTGTGTTGCTGTGAGATTTAATGTTTAATTTAGAACTGCACACAGCCAATTAGGAAAGAAATAAGAATAAGGAAGATTGTGTTGCACCACCAAGTGGGAAGTGCCTGCATTTCTTTATATTTACAAAGCTTGAATTAATACAGCACATGACCAAATGGGAGGGAAATTGAGCTTAAGAATGCCCCAATAATCTTCACACAGTAACAGGCAGCCAGGCACTACTTCAATCCCAACTATAAATTAATAAAAACCTGCAACTAGAAAGTCATTCACATCCAGTTTGTCGATACTTGTTCCCAAAAGTTTTTATTTATCTATTTCATTCTTTTTTGGAAAAGTGGGTGGCTGGTTTTAAAAACAACCATTTTACAAACTTTATCATTTGTCATAAAAACATGAATTACTTAAGACAGTGATAAAAATCACACAGCATCCTCTTCTATGACTCCATAATAGGGTGATATTAATTGTAAATCAAGAAGCAAGAGTTATTTTATATGTCATCATGATAAAGTGTATACTATTTAAATAATGAACAAAATTATGTAGAGAATAAAAACAAAATTTATTAACAGACCTCCTGGGTGGATTGCCATACTCGACACCCATTTCACATTAGTCATGAGTTTCTTGACCAATTCCTGCTTCAAGAGGTTATAAATTCTTACATAACGTTGAGTCTGAAAAAAATAAAAACATTTTAAATTGAAGTCATAAGAAAAAAATGTCTTTTTTTTTTTTTTTTTTACAATTTTATTTAGTTTCAAATTAAATAAAATTATCTCAAAGAATATCTCCAGGGTCTGACGTACAAAGTTGGAGTATTTGGTATACTAATGTCTACCTGGATATTTACTCTTGTAAATTCTAGCAATATCATCATTAAAAAAGAAGTAGTCATACCTCCAAAAATTTAAGTTTTGCTATTTGAATTTTCTGAGGAATTGTAATTATTAAGTTCCTTGCATAATCCACAACTATAAAATACCCATGGAATTTCTCTTATTGTCCCATTAAATATTTGAGCTTAACAATTTTATCTCTATCACTCCTCCCTGGGTCTCTCCTCCCTCTTCTCCAGATTGGCTTGGAAAATCTGATAATCACAAGGACAGATTGAAGGCAAGAGAGACAGAGGGAATGACATGACATACTTAGTAAGCTTGAATAAATTGATGACAGAACAGTGTTTAGGAGAAATAACAGAAAGACAAAATTTATTAAGTGCTACAAGAGACAGGAAGTTGTGAAGAACCATGATTGCCTACTTCCTCAGGGGATACAGTAAATAAAGAAGCTCCTCATCTTGACTGCTATAGTCACGTTTTACTTATTTCCAAGATGAGTCATTACTTATAGCCTCTTATTCAAACTCGAGTGTATATATTTAGACAGAAGATAATTTAATTTGAAAAATCTGCATAATTGAATTCAAGCAAAACATACTTACAGCAACAAAAAGAAATGGTTTAATAGGATGAAACATAACACGTTGCACAATGCCTTTCGATTTGGAAAAGGGAGTCTGGAAAAAGAAAATAAAAGAGGCAAAAAAGGTATTAGATGTTTATGAAATGAGTTTAGGGAAAGATAAATTCAGGGGTTACACTCTAACAGAATGACCCTATTTCCATTTATATCAGGCACATTTCCACCCTGCAAAAGCAACAACTTCAAAATCCTGCATCTTATTTCCCCAATGGTTAAATTCCTTCTACTAGACTAACACTCATTTTATACACTATAGTCAATTGATGACCCCAAAATAAATTATTACTGTGAAAGTTCTTTTTTAAAGTGATCAAAAGTCTTAATACAGAAGATCCGTCATCAGAATGTAACCTGTTTTCACTTTTCAATCTAAAAACCACTTTCATACATTGCACTCTTTACCATTAAGCCACAAGAAGCCATTACAGCAAAGTAAGGCTCAATTAACCTAGTCAAGAAAAGCAATTCTCTTGTTGACACCTTTTAAAGTCCATATCTTTAGCTGCTACTATCATCCATGCCAGACTAATTTTATGGAAGCTACTGGTGACAATTGATATACCTGATAGCCTTTCTGAAGGTGAATTATTTTGTCTATTTATAAACAACAAAATAACTTTATTCATCAACGTGACAAATAAATATGAGGAAACATCACTATTTTGACAAAATGAAAACCTTCTTAGCAATTTTGCTTCTTATTGCACCCCCAGAACTCCACAAGGAATAATAAAAGTTAAAGTACGTTGAATTATTTACGTATTTTTTAATGTATTTGTTTTTTTACTTCGTGTTTCAATTTTTGTTTTCGAACGTCAAAACATGCATACAAAAAGTAATACATTACACCAAAATATTACTCATTAATACTTTTAATAGTGAACAAAAATTAAAACCTATACACACAATACAAAGAAAGTTATAACAATTTTAAAACAGTAGGTCTTCATATTTTTGCACCCTCAAAAAAAAAAAATAAATAAATAAATAAAAATAAATAAATAAAAATTAAAAAAATAAAATAAAATGCAGTGGCAGGGGGAACAATTCTATAAAGAAATTAGCGTTGGTAAAAGTTAAATACGTAATTCAAATCTCCCTCTATTAATGTGGCCTCCATAGCTGAATTGGTAAAGGCACATTTCAGCTACAGGAACGGTTTCCTTGATGAATAAGGCAATACAGCTGTCAGAAGCACAATCTAGGCTGACCATTATTAATTTCCCTATTTTTTTTTGGTGGGAGGGGAGGAAGAGATAATAATGATTTAGTGATACAAGTCTGACTAATTAACCCATAGCTGGAGGCAGAAGAGGTGGATTCCCAGGGGTATTTGTGCATAAGTGAATATAATGAACTCAAGTCGAAGTGAAACACAGCTCCCAATTTAACATTTCTGGACTATTATCATCACATCACCTGCACATCCAAGCTTACATCCCCTGGTATTCACAAAAAAAGTCACCATCTAGGTAAAAAACCAGGCTTGATATTCCTTAACTTTGGTGATTGCATGGGAACCAGCATTTCAATGTGATATGGCCATAAGCACATTTCAAGTACAAAATTGCAGATATATATTCATAGAAGTCCCAACGATAAATTTGCAATATATTATTCAAATCTCACTCTATAAATATGGTGTCCAAAGATGAATTGGTAACAACACATTCTTTATTCTTTCATTATGTTTTGAATAATTTACATCTACTATAGATATTTCATGCACTGAACCTAATAATTATTATGGGATAGATGCAATATTTTTTTCAACCTGTCCCATAGCAGTTGTTACATTTGCATACACAATTGATACATTAAGTGTAACAACTTTTATGCAACAGAAGTGGTGTCTTTTTTAACACTGAGAAGAGCTGAAAAGTTTTCATTCCAACCTTAAAAAAAAAAAATAAATAAATAAATAAATAAATAAATAAAAAAATTCCTTATTTGGTCATTTTGTCAAATTTTGGAAAATGGGTCATGGCAAGTGCTTTTCTGCACCCCCGTAGTATGACAGTTCAATAATAGTCGTTACATTTGCATACATTAAATGTAGCAACAGTTATGGGACAGACATAGTCAAATTTGATATCTGGCAAAAAAAAATAAATAAATAAAAAATTTAATTACAAAAACATTTAAAAAAGAAAGAGGAAAAAAGAAGAAAGAGATTGAGAGACAAAGGAAAACGGAGGGCAAGAGAAATAAAGAACAAAAAAAAAAAAAAAAAAGCAGAGAAATGTGTCTTTTTTTTTCTTTTTAAAGCAAATATACAAAGAGGGGGTTTAGTTGTCCAAACAATTTCTATGTTAATAACTTTTCTCAAAGTCATAAATAACAACTTGTGAAATTTACCTTAAAACAATTCTGGAATAAACATGAATATTTTTCAAGCCTCAAATGAAATAGAGAAATCATAACAAACCTGTGAACGTCTCTTTGTAACTTGATGAATGAGAACAGCCATGCTGAAACCCTTGGGCATCACAGAAGTGAAGTAATCTCCCTTTGCATGCCAAGACACATAGTTCACTTCCTGTTTGAAATAAAAGAATTCAGATTTATTGGCAAATTCATTTAAATGTAACAATTTTATTACTATTATTTTTATCAAAATTCTAGCTTGATACACTCTTCATTGTTACCAGTTTTACTCCATCTTATTGATGGCTTTTACCCTACCACTGGTTTGATAAATGCTTTGTTATTATTAAGACACGAGTAGCTCCAAAAGTAATGCTTCCTATTTTATTATACTATGTTAGTAGAGGCTGAACCTTCCAAATCATTTTTTTTTTGTTACAGATAGCAACAGAGCAGTAGTTTAGCAAAATGGTGTCTGATATGAAAGTGCATACAAAGCAGAGATTATCACTAAATTCTTGGATGCACAAAAAGTTAAACTTTGGCATTTATAAATGCTTTCTAGACATTTATGGAGGCCAAACACCGGATGCGAGCATAGTTAAACAGTGGATAATGGATAGCCAATTGTAGGAAAAAAAAAAACTTCATTGTCATAAATCGTCACTGTAATTCACCCCCACAATGTACCAACAGCACAACTGTCACCAAGACAAATTCTCCTCTACTCTCCTGGGATTTTTATTATCCCAAGCCGCCACTGATTGTCCAAAGAACCAGCCAATCCGTACATTACACCAAACTACTACTGATTGTCCAAAGAAGCAGCCAGATTTAATCCTCTTTGCCCTCTGTGGTAATTCACTACACCAATAGTGGTGTGTAAAATAGCGTTTTGTGGTTGAAAATTTGCTCTATTCAAAAATGTTATTTTGTTTATTATGTTTGTTGTAGTTTCTATGGAAATACAATAAGAGGCATTACTTTTCAAAGGAAAATGAATAACCAACAGTGGTAACAATGTTGGTGGTAAAAAGGTTTTGCAGCTGAAAATTTGCTCCAACCAATGGTGCCATTATGACCGCCAGATCCATTGTTAGCCTCCATGAAAATAAATCTGAAGCATTAGTTTTGAGTTTTATTGGTTTTATTTTCATATATAAATTTCTTCTATGATGAACTGAAATATGAAAATTAAAGTACTCAAAAAATTAACAGTTCTTCAAATTTAATATTATTGAAGCTCTGCTCAAAGAAGCAAAGACACTGTAGATTTACAAAAAAAAAAAAAAAAAAATTATTAAAAAAAAAAAAAAAAAAAAATGAAAATTATTATTAAAAAAAAAAAAAAAATGAAAATCATAAAAACAATCTATCAATCATTTGAAAGATTATGACAGTAAATAAAAAAAAAATTACACTTTAAATTAAATTATCCCCCAAAATTTATGGCTGACAGTTTATCCGAATCAATACCAAGAAACTCAACATTTCAGCTAATAAGGAGAAAAAGTTGTTTTTTTTAATCATTTCATTCCAAGTAAGGCAATAATGCCACTAAGATGCAAGGGATCACTGGGCATGAAAGAGAATAAGACTTTAAAAGGAACTGGAAACTCAATCCTAAACAGGAAATAAGAGATAAACCTCTACTCCTGCTCAAAAGACAGGAGTGGAGTGTGATCCAGCTCATCTACTCCTATTAAAGGAAAAAAAACTAAAAAAGAATTTTCCAAATCCCAATTTGAATCCTGAATTTAAAATCAGGACTGGTTTTGTCACTCCAGCACTATAACTATAAAGATGAATTTTTTTTTTTCTAGATGGGAAGTGAAATCAACTTACTTGTGGATGGGTGAGTTTTAGTCGAAGTCCATTTGTATAATCTTTACCTTGAAACACTTCCCATGTCACTGGTACTTTTTCTGGAGCAGAAAAAAAAAAATGAGATAAGTTAAAGTTTTATTTACACTAATTGCATTTTGATTATTTTTTTTCTGTAATCATGTCTTCCCATGCAAGGCAATAAAATAGCTGGGAGGAGAGAAAGTAGCGGCTGTTAATTCTTTAAGTCTTCGATATCAGGTTGGCAGTGGAGATATTTTGGGAGAAAAAACAAAATGGCTGCCTTTATACACGTCGCATTGAATATTTTGAGCTTTCTGATTGGTTAACCCTTGTATTGGTGAACTATAAAATGAGTCAGCTCATTTTGACTGGCTCACTAGTAAAAGCTACCCAAAAAACTGTAACAATTTTAACGCCTCCAAAACTACTCTCTTATAATCGTGTAAGAGACCATTTTCTACCTTCCATCAGCATGCTGATGCTAACTTCCATGCTAAAGAAAATCTCATATCAGTTAATTCTTCTTCAACAGTCCCAACAGCGTCAACACACACACACACAATCATCAAATGGTGGAAAGTAATACATTCCCAAATAGTGTGCCGTGCCTTCCAGGTGTGGCAGAAAAGAATAGCAGGTGAGACATAATTAAAAGACAAATTTAGAAATGGTTTCAAAAAATTCATATGTCAAAAGCAAGTACAATTTCAAAATTTAAAATACTATTATGGATTACTTGTAATAGAATGCATGAGTCCCAGTATAAATAGTTATAAATATAATTATTGACCAATTTTATCAGTGTGACATTTTTGCATTATATCAAGTCTTACTATAGTAACTAGGCTCCGCAAATTGGAGGAGAGAGTTATCAATGATAATGTTCTGACTTGGAATCCACAGTTATCTCGCTTTAACCCTCTATTTTTATTTTATATCCACTGTCTATTTAGATTAGACTAGATTTAGTTAAACTAGTGATTCCCAAACGATGTGGCTTACCTCATAGGTGCAGCTGAAAAGGATAGCAGATGAGGCGAAATGATTAAAAGATAATCAAAGATTAAGAAACAGTTTCAAAAAATTTGTTTGCCAAAAATAAATATGATTTCAAAATTTCAAATATTATTATGGATTACTTGTAATTGCATGCATAAGTCCCAGTATAAATACTTATAAATAATTATTGACCAATTTTATCATTGAGATATTTTTTCATTATATCAAGTCTTAAGAATATAGTAACTAGGGTCCGCAAATTGGAGGAGAGAGTTATCAATGATAATGTTCTGACTTCGAATCCGCGGTTATCACCTTTTAACCCTCTCTCTGTTTTTTTACTTTTTATCACAAAAAATTTGGTGAGGTGCAAGTAAATTTCCATTCTGAAAATGTAACCCAAAGAAAAAACGTTTGAGAACTACCGTACTACAAGAATTAGAAATGTCCTCCAAGAAGGGCAGCAAGCAGCTGATTGTTTTCTGAGTGAAAAGTCAAATTCTACAAATATTCTGAGTGGAGGAAGCAAACAAGAGAAAAAAAAATACCTACTTGTAGATTCACCTTCACTCAAATCACTTGTATCTTGTGCTTCATAAGAATGCAAGAGGTCGTCAGTATTAGACACGATGAGTTTGTCAAGGATACCAGGGTTGATCAGTAAAACATTTTGGTCACTAGCAAGAAAGAAAAAAAGAAAAAGAAAAGAAATTATATACAAAACATGAAATTTTTTAAACCAAAATTTGAACACGGAGGCAAAACTCATTATTTTAGTATTTTCCTAAGACTACAGAATGCTTGCATAACATCAGATATTAATGTTTCTATCAATTGATGCTACTTAAACATTACAAATGTTATTCTGGATAATTCCATGTTCCAACAGTTACCTATCCTACATACCTTTTTAATTATGCACTTCTTACTCTCTCCGTTTATGACCATACAACCTCATTTCATTAACCCTCTATCTTGAGTGGCTCTTTGGCCATGTATTGGGTGAAGAATAGCAAAAAAAAAAAAAAAGTTTCAAATTAAGTTTAGTTTTATCATACTGTTTAAAAAAAAAAATTTAAAACATCGAATTATTACCAATAACTTGGAACCTCAAAAATTCCTCCTATGCAAAATGAATTTTATTTATGAATTCTCATGTCGTTTCGGCAATTGAAGTAATAATCAATAATTGAGTACCACAAAAATCACCAGTTATAAAAACATGATTATCCAAGCTAAAATAATTTCCTCCTCAGACATATTATTTTATAAAGAATAAAGCAACAGAAAACAAACATTTGTCAACAATGATTTCCCCAACTAGGACAGCAACAAGCAAATTAAATTATCTTTAGAGAATTAAAAAAAAAAATAACAGCCAACCATTTTGATATAACAAAAGTCAAAACACCAACTTATTCCACTGTAACCATATGCACTCTATGAACAAAAGAGATTTTAAAATATTATTTGCTGCTTCTTCAATCACTACATCAGAATTAGAAACGATGTTGGTCGAAGATGTCAGGGTTGATCAGTAATCAAGGAATAACTGAAAATTACCAGCATGTGACAGCGTATATTTTATGCAGAGACCAAGGATAAAAGCTATCCCTCAAGTGCTTTGTCCTAGAACTAATAGAACTAAAACTTCTCCCTTAAGATAACACTTCAAACAAGTGGAACGCAGGGTGCATACTGTTTTTCATCATGTTTTCTGTCCTTCAAGGAGGGCAGAGGGCAGCCGATTGCTTTGAGGGGGATACTAACCAAAATCAAATCCTACAAAGATTGTGAGTGGGAAAGGAAAGAAAAATATATAGATATAGACTGAAATTTGGCAGATAAAAAATCAACAATAATATCGGTATAATATCTATTGCATATTAGTAGACCTTTTGTCTAAAAGGAAGCATAATAAATAAAATATATTATATATAAAAATACTGACAAGCAAATTTGCTTGTCATTTTAATGACAAATGTGAGTACCATCATGAGAATAAAATCACTGGTTATAAAAAAAACATGATTAACCAAGCTAAAATAATTTCCTCCTACTTTTTTTTATAAAAAATAGAGCAACAGAATGCAAACATTTGTCAACAACGATTTCCATAACCAGATCATCAACAAACAGATGAAATTAGATTTAAAGAATTAAAAAAAAAAAAAAAAAAAAAAAGAAAGAAAGAAATAACATAAACAACTAGCTTGATATAGCCAAAATCAAAACATTAACTTTTTCTACTGTAACCAGATGCACTCTGACCATAAACAAAAAAAAGAGACTTTAAAATAGAATTTGCCATTTCCCCAGTTACTCCGTTGAGATTAGACTGTCCTGGGTATGACGATAAACTACATCTGCATTCTGAGTAAGACAAACTACATCCAACAGCTAGGCCTTTGATGAGGCGGTTTTGAAACACCTGTCAGGGTCGTAGCTATAGGCAAATAGTTAACCCCTCCAAAAGGGGTCAAAACACTATGAAAATATAAAAATAGGTTTTAATAGCAGTGATACGTTTTGGAAAAATTATTATCAGAAATACATTTTTGAAAAAAAATATTATTACCAGCAATAAAAATCTTGTCAGCATTAAATAACCCATTAAGATTAATATGCTGTAAAACCAATCACAAGATTAGACATGATGTGTTTGTCGAGGATGCCAAGTTGATCAGTAAAATACTTGGTCACTAGCAAAAAGAAGAAATTACGTATAAAGTACAAATTGCTTACATAACCTCTGATATCAATATTTTTAGCAATCGCTGGTACTAAAATGTTACAAGTGTTATTCTGTTTTTCTGACTCCCGTGACCGCAGATAATTCAATGAACCAGATACTCCAACCTGTCTGCAGAACTATGGAGGCTGGTCTATCTAAGACCAAAACGTTTTCTTGAATTCAAAAGAAGAAGAAAGGAAAAAAGAAGAAGAAAGGAAAAAAGAAGAAGAAAGGAAAAAAGAAGAAGAAAGGAAAAAAGAAGAAGAAAGGAAAAAAGAAGAAGAAAGGAAAAAAGAAGAAGAAAGGAAAAAAGAAGAAGAAAGGAAAAAAGAAGAAGAAAGGAAAAGAAAGAAAAAGAAGAAAGGAAAAAGAAGAAGAAAGGAAAAAGAAGAAGAAAGGAAAAAGAAGAAGAAAGGAAAAAGAAGAAGAAAGGAAAAAGAAGAAGAAAGGAAAAAGAAGAAGAAAGGAAAAAGAAGAAGAAAGGAAAAAGAAGAAGAAAGGAAAGAAGAAGAAAGGAAAAAAAAGAAGAAAGAAAAAGAAGAAAAAGAAAAAAAAGAAGAAAGGAAAAAGAAGAAGAAAGAAGAAAAAAAAGAAAAAAAAAAGAAGAAAAAAAAAAAGAAGAAGAAAAAAAGAAGAAAAAAAGAAGAAGAAAAAAAAGAAAAAAGAAGAAAAAGAAGAAAAAAAAAGAAAAAAAGAAAAAAGAAGAAAAAAAAAAAAAAAAAAAAAAAAAAAAGAAGAAGAAGAAGAAAAAGAAGAAAAAAAGAAAAAGAAGAAGAAAGAAGAAAAAAAAAAGAAGAAAGAAAGAAAAAAAAGAAAAAGAAAAAAAAGAAAAAAGAAAAAAGAAGAAAAAAAGAAGAAGAAAAAAGAAGAAAAGAAAAAGAAGAAAAAAGAAGAAAGAAAGAAAAAGAAGAAAGGAAAAAAATTGTCTTTGGCAATTTTTTCACAAAGAGCTAAAAGTTCAAAACATTTCAGTCTCTTTCCCTGTATCATCCGTTCAGAACATGTGCAGATCATGGTTCTCCATAGCTTTCATTGTTGCTATTAACTTGCTCCTTCATGCCTCCTTTGTCTTTACTTGAGCTTTCCTTATCTTCTCTTGTTTTTCTATATGCCCTCTGAGTGTTAAATTTTCTAAGCCTTCACCCCTCATTAAGCTTTCCAAAAATTTTACCCGTTTCTGATTTATTAAGAGTTTCTTTGTATTTCCTGTTCTTATTAAAAATGTAACAAATGAAGTTTCCATTAATAATTGAGAAAATAATAAAAAATGAAGCAAGGTAATAAAGCCACTAAGACACAAGGGGGTTACTGAATGTGAGAGAATAAAAAAAAGAAAAACATTACAGAGCAAGAGCAATAAAAGAGGAGGAATCAAGACAGTAGATAACAACTGATATTTCATTTAAATTGTTGAAGATCAAAGTTGACTGGAAAGCAAGAAGCTGGAAGAGAGATCGACAGGCGAGAAGTACAATAAAAGAAACATATCCTAGAAATTACAACTGTATCTAGCCATTTCAACAGTAAAATGATGAGATCTTGCCACCAATATAGTAGTGCGCTTAAATTCATAAAGGCTAGATACCAAAGCAGAAAGTTCATCAGAACAATTACTATAGAAGTATTTACAGAAAAGGCACAGGGAAGTTACATCACAGCATTGGGAAAGTGTCTAAAGCCTGGATGCCAGGTCAAGACCAATAACACTGCAGATTCTTTGGATTTTATCAAGAATCTCTAAATATATAGCAGGAGCACCAGACCATATATGGCAGCAATATTTGTAGCATGGAAGAATGGTAGGCTTATAAATATGTAAGCTAGATTTTGGAGAGAAAAATTCTCTCACACGACACAGTGAACCAACATTCTTAGCAGCAGACTTAGCAATTGATTCAATATAATCATTTTTTTCTTCTCGGAAAATAATTATTTATAAATTAAAAGATAACTTGAGTACCCTAGATAAAGTTAAGAAATTGTCAAACTTACACAACAGCTGCCACCAGACACAAAGAAGGATTAGGATTCCATGTAATACTTTTAACGACACCTTCAACAGGAATTGTCTTGATGCAACGACCAGTGGCAATTTCCCATACTTTGATGCTGCAATCATCAGAACCTGGTTAAAAAAAAAAAAAAAAAAAAATCTATTGTTTTGATTTTTTATGGTTTATCAACCCATTGTGGGTAAAGCAGAAACATTTTAGATTGTAACTTTTTTTTTTTTTTTTTTTTGTGAGTGAACACTGTATTAACAATTTGGGGGAGATAATGATTTTTCCAGATCCAACTATTTATTTAACCAATAGCTGGGTGGGGGGGAGACAGATTTATACCTCTTCAAAGTGTATTTGCACATAAGTGAATGTAACAGACTCTCCAAATTCTCATTCCAACTTACTATCCATTACAACAAACATCTCCTGACAAAACAAAATGAAAGCAAAACATTTTTTCCAATACAAAGTTAGGCAAACTTGGACCTTAATAACTACAAAAAAAAAAAAAAAAAAAACACTGTGTCAAAAGGACAGTTTTTTCATTGACACTATTATTTTAACTACCTTCAATCCTCAGCAATGGCTCTCATTTTAAAAAGCAATGAATACTTAAATTAATATAACTTAAACTTGTGATCTTACGATTAAAGTGAATTACAGCAAAAATATTAAACACTATTAGATTGTTTTACAAAAATAATTTTCTATTGGCAACATTCTAAAAGCTAATGCAATATTTATCATTTACCAATTTATAAAGAAATAAATATGAAAATAATTTTTTAAAATATAAATTTATAAAAATTTACTAAATTATTAAAATATGTGAACCAAATATAAGAAAATCCTTATTATTTACCATTTGATAAAGTTCAAATCAATTAGCAATTAACTGATGTTTTGTCAACCATTCTAACAAACTATCTAATAGTGTAAATAAAGAATGTAATAAATAAAATGTGATTATTAATTTTGTTGTCAATTCTCAAAAACAATGAAAAGGTATAAATTCACTTTCATATGTTGAGGTTTTATTAAAATCATCGCTTTTTAAAAACAAACATTGCTGAGGAGTGGAGGTAGTTAAAATAATAGCAGTGTCAAGGAAAAAACTGTCCTTTTGACACTCCATTTTTTTGCAGGCACGAAGGTCAAAGTTTGTCCAAAGTTAAATGAGAGAATATGAGAAGTTTCTCTATATCGGAACAATGTTAGGCAAATGATTGTTGGTTGGTTAGTTGTTTTGTTTTATGGCATATCAAAACCTCAGTGGGTCATTTAATGGCAACAAAATTTTTTAAATAGATTCATAGCGATAGTTGGGTAAAAAAAAAAAAAAAAAAAAAAGGTGTGTATGTATGTATGTATTTGAACCATGTTTCAATTATTCATATTTCTGAGTACAATCCAACTTCTTTTAGGAAATTTACAATCTTGGTAATATTTTATTCACACTAGATCAAAATCTACAAACTCTAACAGTATATGTTTCACTGTAAATTTCTCTTGGCATATTGGGGATTCTGTGCCCTCTAGTAAATAATGATGGGTGATGTAGGTGTGGCCTGTTAGGCAAATGAATGACAATGTGGGAAAGATTCTGTGTAACATGTTTTAACTGCTAGAAAGATTTCAGACTAATTTTTTTTAATGGAATTATTTATATATAACAGAAGGATAAGTTTTATATCTCCCCTTCCTACAGATAAAATTCCATCAACAAAAACATTACTTTAGTCCAGTGGTTCCCAAATTTTTCTCTGGGCTGCATTTTCAGAACAAAAATTTGATCGCACCTAACCAAATTTTATGTGATAAAAAGTACATTAAAAAAAAAAAAAAAAGAGAGTGTTAAAAGGAGATAACTGTGGATTCCAAGTCAGAACATTATCATTGATAACTCTCTCCTCCAATTTGCAGACCCTAGTTACTATATTCTTAATAGTTGATATAATGCAAAAATATCACAATGATAAAATCAGTCAATTATTTATAATTATTTATACTGGAACTCATGCAATTACAAATAATCTATAATATTTTAAATTTTGAAATCATTTATTTTTGGCATATGAATTTTTAAAACTGTTTCTAAATCTTTGATTATCTTTCAATCATTCCACCTCACGTGCTATCCTCTTCTGCTGCACCTATGAGGCATGCCGTACCATTTGGGAACCATTGCTTTAGTCCAAGGAATGCATTACACAGAATTCTTTTTCATTTTGTCATTCATTCACCTAACAAAGCTGAATTCAGACAGTTCTTGGAATTGAGAATATAAAACAGATTTTATATAAAACAAACATGCACAATTATACATTCTGATCTGAATGTTGTGATAAACTTTACCTATAGAGGTGGAGGTGGCCGGACAGTTAATAGTGTGGAAAATGCAACCAGAAAACAAACTCAAGTGAGAGACAAATTGGCATCACTTCATGCAAATGTCTTTTGGAAAAGACTGGAATACATCTCTTCTTCCTCCAGCTATCAGCAAAAAATAAAGTGGACTGTGTTCTTTAAGCATAATTGGCACCAAATCATGGTTGCAAAATCTTTGTTTCCACTTGCTTTCAGTTGAACCAATATAACTTTTTTGTTGTTTAGCAGACTGTATGTTAGCTCTATAGATAATATTAACAGTCAAACACTGACTGTTTAAAGTTGGTTGGTTGGTTGCGGTTTTTTCTTATTTCTTTTTTTTTGTTTTTTGGTGACGTATCAACCCTATGGTTTATTTAATGCTGAAATCTAAATATTTAGTACATGGAACATAGTACATTTAGTATGTCTTCAACTACACCTATTTTGCACATAATTTTATACTTTCAGGGTAAGTGTCTGTGTGTTATAGATATATAGTTTGTAGCTGGTATAGTGTAGGTGGAATATGTTTTGATATAAACCTATTGTTTTAAAATAGGACATGTTGAGGGTTTCAGTATTTTCAAATAGTTTTCTCAAGTTATTTTCCTTGTAGTATTTATGCCTTACAGTGGCTAAGTGAGTACATTCAGTTAAAATGTGTTTTATCGAGAATGCAGCTTGGATGTTGTACATGTTGGTTGATCATCATTCTTCAGCAAGTATGAATGGGTGAGGGTAGGTTTGGCCTACATGTAGTCAAGCAAGCATTACTTTATTTTTTCTTCTTTTTCTAGACCTTTTGTTTCCATACACCTGGAAATGGTTTAAATGTGAGAAGTTCATTATTTGTGTTGCTGGTCCAACACTTTTGTCATTACTGTTTAACGGACAGTTCATATTATTTTAGCAGTTATATTTTTTCTACTCTTGCTTCAATTATAATTATTTGGGCACATGGCTGAGTTAGAATGTTCACATTCTGACCATGAGACCCAGCTTCAAATTTCACCATAGTTGATTAGTCAGGAAGAAGACTTCCTTATGTTATCAGAGTGGAGGGAGTCGATCCCATCATGTGGCGCCTTTGGAAAGTGCCTGAAAACCATACCACTGGTTGACCCAAACCTTGTGAGTGAAATTAGGGAGCCAGAACCCTTGGGTGCTGTTGATAGCTGTGCTAACACAAAGTCATCATGGCCAAGGTCTTGAGCGTGCTGGCCTTATACAAATTGTTGATCACGTTAGATAACACACTCTTTCCAGAAAATGTAACTATGGTCTGCTCAGCATAGTTGCAGTATAAACCACAGGTTGGCTCTGTGGGTGTTGAATGAACACAAATGTGCCCGAGCAAACGTCTTAATCATCTGAGAGAGCCTTCTCTGCTTTCCCACATGGCTGATGCTAACCTTCAAGAAACTGACTCACTGCAGCTTCTCAGGTTAAAGTTCTCAGCTGACATGAAGTGGAAAGACTATATTGAATCAATTGCTAAGCCTGCAGCTAAGAAAGTTGGTTCCCAGTGTTGTGAAAAACAATTTTTCTCTCCAGAATCTATCTTGCATATCTATAAGTCTACCATTCGTCCATGCTTAGAATATTGCTGCCACATATGGTCCGGTGCCCCTGCTATTTATCTTAGGCTCCTTGATAAGGTCCAAAGGAGAATCAGCAATAGTATTGGTCCTGATCTGGCATCTCAGCTTCAGTCACTTAACCACCAACATAAGGTTGCCTTCCTGTGCCTTTTCTCTAAATACTTTCATTTTTGTTCAAATAAGCTCTTCACTATGGTACCTAAACTTCATGAATTTAAGCGCAGTACTAGACTGGCATCGAGATCTCATCAATTTACAGTTGTGCTGGCTAGATGTAACCATAAATTCTATGCTAACAGTTTCTTTTCTCACACTGCTCGCTTGTGGAACTCCCTTCCAGCTCCATGATTTCCAGCCAACTTTAATCTGCAAAAATTTAAATGCAATGTCAATTTCTCTCTACTGTCCTCCTGATTACTCTTCTCTTTCCAGTCATTATCAATGTTTCTGTTTCTAATTCTTTCACAACCAGAAACCCTTTGTGCTTTAGTGGCTAATGGCTTTACTGCTTTGCATGATGCATACCATAAAAAAAAAACCAAGATAAAAAAATTAAAGTTTTGACATAACAGAAAAAGGAGAATTTTCATATCAGAGTCCTTCATCAAAAAAGAACACAAAAGGAATCCATTTTCAATACAACTTACCTGAAACCAGCCACTGTCCATTCAAGTGCACAGAAATACAGCGAACCATATTTTTGTGGCCCTTGTAAACCTACAAAACAAAAATTATATATTTAAATATGTTCAATTAAATCTTAAATCTTAAAAATCTGACCAACTGTTTATCAAATTAGAGAACTTTCAAACCAAACTATTTTAGGAATTGTTCTTTTAGTCTATGTTGATGACAGATTCAGAAAGAAAACTGATAGAACTATTAGACAAAATAGTCAAGGAAAGCAAGAAGAAAGGACTAACCATTAACGAATCGTCACTGTTGTCGTGATGTCACTAATGCTAACACAAACATAGATGCATGTCCATACACCCATTGACGTATGCAGACACACATACACACTCGCTCATCCGCCGGGGCTCATACAGACATAAACATATGTGGACAGTATGGGATTTGACATATGTATGTATATGTGTGCTGTTGTCTATATACATACACATTTGTATGCTGAAATTTAAAGATCGGAAGTGTAGCAAAAATTTCTCGTGAATGTATATGTTAGCTCTATCTCTGATGTTGAGCACTTTCTAATAAGTACCGCAGAGATATAATATATTACATATATATATATATATATATATATATATATATATATATATATAAGACTGAGAATGATAGATGCTTCTGATTAGTTGCGTTTCAAAAGTTTCCAACCAAACAGTTTCCCCACCCACAACAATGTATCCAGTTACAAGATTTTAAAAAGTGTTGGGAACTTTTGCACGTAATGAATATAATTTTAAAATCGGTTGCAATTCCATGATGGAACTGAATTTTTTTACCTCTTTCAGATCACCACAGCATCTTAGCCAATTCCTTCAGCTCCAGGTTCTCAAATTCATTAAGGCAAACAGTTCTTCACACTATATTATATAATATTTATTCTTTATTTTCAAAGGGTTTAATTAACTTATGGGTCATAACCATTGCTGTTATTAACAAACAAAATGTCTATACATTTTGAGGAAGAGAATGTATTCATCACTTCAATCAAGCTAAGTCAGGATTCAAGAGTAATTCAAAATAAAACAAAAGTTGCTTACATTACACATGTCATTGTGAAGGGGGTTGGTCCAATCAGTATATTTTGCACTATTTCTTTTCTGTTTGCTACCATGACAATCCAAGAAGTCATAGGATGATTTGAAATTGAATTGGATTTCACAAAAAGAGAAATTTGTTAGGCATACTTTTTTTTAAAAAGCATTAGTCAAAATTTTGAAATAACTTACAATTGATTGTGTGGTGGGAAATGGTTGTAAATCTCTCGGTTTAGGCAGCTGTGGTAACAAATCATGTGGATCCAAATCTTTTACCTGAAGAAAAAAATTTATAGCACTTAGAAATGTTCAGATCATTGTTGCTATAAACAAACAAAATACCTAGCCATTTTGGGGGACAGCCTGTATCTATTCAATAACATTTATTCTTTATTATGAAAAGATTTAATTAATTTTTAACTCGTTAAACAAAATGTCTATCCATTTTAGAAGACAACATGTATTCTATTCTGTAACATTTATTCTTTATTATGAAAGAGTCTAGTTAACTTGCAAGTCATAACTAGAGCTGCTATTAACAAAATAGGTTTATATTTTGTGAATGCACTGTATTTTTTTTTTAAAGATTCTTGGAGACATTAGAATAAAAAGAGTTAATTTCAAAAGATTTACCTAACATAAAAAAGAAAGATAAAATATTTTGCCTCAGCAAAAACAATAAAAGAAAATTCAAAAAAAGAAATATAAACAAAGAATCTTACTTTCATGACTTTTTTCCTCGGGCAGAGATAAAGATCAAGACAACGTTCAAATCTTTCCTTAGTGAAATCAGAATAAGCTGGTATGAGACGAAGTGATGAGTATTTTTGTGGCTTCACTTTTATTCTTCTCTCATGTGGTTCTTTTTCATTCCATTTTTCTTCTTCCTCAGCAGAGAAAAGATACTCAGGAGGTGGGTTGTAGGACTCCCCATGACCAGGCAATGCCAACTTGGGAGCAGAAATGTGATGCCGATATCGTTTGTCCAGTTCACTCTGGAAGAATTTTAAAAAACACTTGCTGATGAATTTAGCAAACTTTTGCTTTTTTATTTTAACACAAATACTCATGAGAGAAAGCAATCAAAATTAAAGATATATGAATTTGCAAAATGTTTGTGGAATAAAAGGTCACGAAAATGTCAAAAGGAGGTTTTTTTTTTCCATTGACACTGCCATTATCTTAACTACCTTTACTCCTTGGCAATGTTTATTGTTTTAAAAAATGAGGATTTGAATTGTAATAAAACCTAAACATACAATGAAAGTGAATTTATACATTTTTTTTTGTTCTTGAGAATTTACAAAAATATTAAGATTTATTAGATTGCTTATTTACAAGAATAATTATTCTTGTAAATAATAATCTAACAAATTGTTAATCAGCTGTGTAGCTAATCAATATTTCATTGACTGATTTGTTTTCTACGGCTTATAAACTCTTTGCGGGTTATTTGAACCCAGAAAACATTTTTTTGTTTTTTAGATAATAATGGTCTAATGACAAGTTTTACTAATTAACCCATATGTGGGGGAGAAGAGGTGGATTCATACCTCTCCCAAGGGTATTTGCACACAAGTGAGTATAACAAACCCAACAGAAATTAGAACTCGACTTTCCAATTAATAATTTTGAGCCATTATTCATTATATCACCTACACGTCCAAGACTACAGCACCAGGTGTCCTCAAGCTGTGTCACAGAGGCACAGCAAGTCATCTCAACACAGGGGACGCATGATGTGCCATTTCAATATGGAGTGGCTTTGCTAATGATGAATAGATTGTGAGCATTATGAATAAAATATGGTTATTATGATACGTGTAGTTGTTAATTTCAATCTCAGAGAATGACTGCAAAACACTTGCCCCTCCCCTTTTATAGGCAGACGGCCACAAATGCATGCTGGGACATTTTTCTGAGCCAATAAAATAAGCCACTTTACAATTTGACATGATTCAGTCCAGATGTGCAATGTAATGTCCATCCTTCTATATATTGGTGAATGAAGGAAAGACTTTTAGCCAAATGAGAGATGCGGTTCTACCAACTAATGTTAATAATACAACAGAGTAATGTGTGAAAAGAGCAATTCAATATAAAACAAAATGAAGTTGCTTTCATTACACATGTTGCTGTTTCACAAAAAGAGAAATTTGTAAGGAATACTTTTTTTAAAAAGCACAAGAGTCAAAATTTTTTCTTATACAGAAGACAGACCACTGGATTGGTCTGTCTAACTGTTTGTGTGTAGATACCAATTCGTTGTTCGTAAACTTTTTGCCTTCCTACCTGTGAATTTGCTTTGAATATATTGTTTGCTTACTTGATACTGTTTCATTTTGAAGAATCAAAAATATGACACACACCCTCACAAGGAAGTTCCCAACTAGTGTCCAGTTGGCAGACAAAAAAGCCAGAGGGAAATTACATGATGCCAAAGTGGTCCATATTCCGAGTTTTTTTTATATCTATCTCATTCTGTTCATATATGTCTATCTCTGTCTGTAACTCAATACAGAACCCAAACAGCATCCACGGCATAATGATGGATATTTATTGAGCACAGTATCAACACCAAAGTCAGCAGCCAATCAGGATCTAGAGAATAGGCTTGCCCAAGTAGCAGAATGGAACATCCCAGTCTGTTATATAAACCACTCACTAAAGGGCACCTTGAGGCAGTATAATGGTTAGCAAGCTTGTCTCGCTAGAACAATTACAACTGAGTAGTGAGTTCTATCCTCGCTTGGTGCCCCCTACTTTCAGCCTTGTGCCACATCTAAGCTACACTTGGAAAAAAGCGATATAAACCACTCACCAACTGGCAGAGACAAGCTGCCAGAGCAGGCTCAACTTATTGTCTGGTTATCCAACTAAATTCTACACATTTTTGCCCCTTTTTCTTTTTATTGCAATCTTTGTTAATTTTGTTTGTTAGACAGTTCTGTTATTTCTTTTGTATTTGACCACAGCTACTAACTTATCAATAGTGACTAACATAATACTTACCACTTCATTATCTTTCCATATCATGTAGAATGTTCGATTTTTCTCTTCCTCATCAGGATCTTTCTTCTTCTTCTTCGGTTTCAACCATCCCATTTTAATAGAATGAACAAGCTGACCAACCTGTGATTAAAACAAAACAAAAAAATTCATAGGAAAAAGAAATTCAGACAAACAAAACCACAAAATGAATATTATTATAATTTATATATACACTTGGGGAATGAGAGCTGAAAAGAAACTCAGATTGACTTGAAAACCGTACAAAAAAAAAATCTGGTCATTTGGTCAGATTTTGAAAAGCGAGTTAGGATGAAAACTTTTAAGTGCCCTTTCAGATCAGTGTGAATGGGGAAATGTTGGATGATTTCATTCCTTCCAAGAAATACCAGGTGAAACCTCAATATGCTCCATGGTTCACACCGATATGCTTGTCCACTATAGCCCACAGAAATCAGTATTTTCAGCTATACCAGCATGACAGCTCCCATCACAACAGATGCCTATTCATTGCTGCTCATAATAAATGTAAACAAATCCTCGAAGGAGCTCAGTCTCTGCTAAGAGAATGAGGTACTGCACTGCATCTAACATCTTTGGATCTCATGAATACTAGCGGCTCTGTAATAGGGTATTTGATAAGTGGAAGGTTACTATTCCTCTTTTTCTTCAATCAACTTGAGTTGTTATCATCCTCTGCTGATAAAGCTGAATGCGTCGCCTGCAAATTCTTCTAAAACTCTACTCTTGACTCATCTGGAGTATCCCTGCCTAACTTCCCACTTAGAACAAAGTCTCTTTTGAGTGATATGCACATAACCCCTTCTATAGTTTCTGCTATCATCTCTAACCTAGATCCCTACAAAGCATGTGGACTTAATGGTATCCCTGTAAGAGTCATTAAGAAGTATGCTCCCAAACTGTTTCCTGTTCTCTCTAAACCGTAATACCTTACTGTCTCTTGTTTTCCTACCTGCTGGAAGTCATCATCTGTCGTTCCAGTTTTTAAGAACTTTGATGAACTGTCCGACCTTTCCAACTATCAATGCTGAATTTGTTACCTCTCAACACAGGACCTTTTTTCAGACAAACAATATAGCTTTCGTTTCTCCAGGTCAAATGCTGATGTACTCACAATAAATTGCGGAAAGAGTCTATCATGCTTTAGACATGAATGGTGAAACCCATACTGTAGCTCTTCACGTCTCAAAAGCTTTTGACAGGATTTGGCATGCAGATCTCCTCTGCAAGCTGAAGAGTCACAGTATCTCCAGAAAAATTTTTGAACTGATCCAGTCTTTCCTGTCAAATTATGAAATGAAAGTTATCCTGAATGGCTACTCATCTAGATCCTTTTGTAATAATGCAGGTATCCCCCCCCCAACCCAGGGCTCCATCCTTATTCCTACTTTGTTTTTAATGTTCATTAATGACATTCCCAATGACATCAGCTCTCAACTTGGTATCTACACTGATGACACAATCATTTACTCCTGTCTTGATAGTAAGGCTGATCAGCCAGACAAAGTCAAAATGGCAGCCAATGTGAAAGACAACCTTCAGTCTGTTGTTAACTGAGGCAAAAGATGGCTTGTTAATTTTAACACATCCCAAACTAGACTGCTCATTAATTATTTGAGAGACCCTTCTCTACCTTCCATCAGCATGGCTGATGCTAACCTCCAGAAAAGTGACTTGTTGCAGCTTCTTGGACTAAAGTCCTCAGGTAACATGTTAGGTCAGATGCTAAGAAAGTTTGTTCACTGTGTTGTATTAGACAATTTTTCTCTCCAGAATCTATCTTATATATCTATAAATCTACCATTTGTCCATGGTTAGAATATTACTGCCAGATATGGTCCGATGCCTCTTCTATTTACCTAGAGCTTCTAAAATCCAAAGAAGTAACCGCAATATCATTGGTCCTGATCTGGCATCTCGGCTTCAGTCACTTTCCCACCACCACAAGGTTGTCCACCCTGTGCATTTTCTATAAATACTTTCATGGTAATTGTTCAGATGTGCTCTTCCCAACATTAATTACTTTGCCAAACAGAATTACAGAGAACTTATCTGAACTTGTGGTCCGATATTGCTGTAGCTAATATTTCCACGGGCAGCACTAACAGTAGTGAATATTGTGGACATCAAATGAAACCAACTTGTTATTGTTTATAAGATGAGCATTGACTTATTCCTTGGCAGAAGTTATTTATATTACTGTTTTAATCCAACAAGTACAGTTGATTTTGCTTTGTTCCAGAGATCCAGCGGATTTTGTCAAAAACATCTTCTCCAGGATCTAAAAAGCACAAGGTGGACTTGGAAAAACCAATAGAAGAATGTGAAATCAACTAATGGCTGGAATAAAGAAGTAGCAACCCAACCACACAGAAATAATGACCAAAAGTGATTAAGAACCTAGCAAGCAAGGGTTTTTACGATTCTAGGCAATAGTGTTAAGCTAACTGCAGTGAAAATAATTTTTATTAGGAAAACAAATGCTTGTTTGCCTAGAAAATACTGACTTTTAGCTGCACTTTAATGACACCAACTTGAGTCTTATCAATAACTTACCTTGAGTCTTTCCCACTTGGAAGGAATAAAACTCCTCTTGTCAGGGGGTCTGTTACTGAGTGGGTGAATCATTGTTTCGTAGCTGAAGAAATCTACCCAAGGCTGATAAAGAGAAAAAGTTGGAATTTATTTAACGACGAACAGGAATAATTAGGAAGAAAATGACAATAGGAAAATTATGACATCTGTTGAAAAAGGGAGAAAAACAAAAAAAAAATGAAACCAATCATTTCTTTGTTGAGCAGAAGTAGATTTACACAGCATGTCAGACATCATTAGTAATTTTAGCTGAATAATGTTGAGGAGAGGAGTAAAGAAATGGGGACGGGGAAAAAAAAAGGAGTGAAGAATGGGGGTGAGAAGGGGGGTGAAGAATGAGGAGGGGGACGCGAAGAGGAACAAAGAATGAGGAGGGGGACGCGAAGAGGAACGAAGAATGAGGGGAGGGGGACGCGAGAGAAACGAAGAATGAGGAGGGGGACGCGACGAGGAACGAAGAATGAGGAGGGGGAGGCGAAGAGGAACGAAGAATGAGGAGGGGGAGGCGAAGAGAAACGAAGATGGGGGGGGGCTGTGGAACTAAGAATGGGGGGACATAACGGAACTAAGAATGGGGGGGACATAACGGAACTAAGAATGGGGGGACATAACGGAACTAAGAATGGGGGACATAACGGAACTAAAAATGGGGGGCATAACGGAACTAAAAATGGGGGGCATAACGGAACGGAACTAAGAATGGGGGTGGCCAGTAAAGAGGAACAAAGAAGGAGGGGGGAAGAGATCAGTGAAGAATAAGGGACAGGAAAAGAAAGGAGAAAAGAAATGGGGATGGAAAAAGAGAAGGGGGAAAAAAAAACAGTGAAAATAGAAATACAGAAGAGAAAGAGAAGCAAAAAAGTTTGAGAAGAGAGAAGAAAAGCTGTTTTCTACTCAGTAGCTCAAGATGGCAATGACTTATTCATTCAGCCATTGAAGCATTAATCTTACCCATCAATACTGAAATTCCATTTCTCTAAGCATCAAATATAGAATATAAAATGTCAAAATAAAATTATTGAAATATCAAAAAAAGTTTCAGCTTTCAATATCAATTTACTGAAGTCTACTTTATACAGTAAAACAAAATAAATAATAGTCTGCTGTGCTGATGTGAACAATGATAACTGCAATAAATGATTCAAAACAAGTGGAATAAAGATTTTTCTAAAAATCAGAGATGTTTCCCCCATTCCATTTCACCAGACTGCTTGTACCATGGAATGGAAAAATCTGCAAATAGCAAATCAGCTTAGGGTATCCAAAACTTTGCACTAGAAAATCAATACGCTACTTTGAAACATTAAAATTTTAAATGTTCCCCCACCGTGAAAGTGTCTTGTTTTTGTAATAGGAAAAATAAAATCCAAAATCTTTGTCAGAAACGTAAAAATTAAACATTAATTTCAACAACTTAGAATTGAACCAATCAGTGTTTACTTTAAAACAGCAGTATTTTATTATTTATTGTAAGCACATTAGGCGACGGTTTAGATGCAACACTCTTCCTCCACTAAGACCTTTGCCAAATATGGGTCAACGACAGTTAAGCAAAACTGCAGTTGGCAATTGCATAACTGATGAGCTCCTGCTTGAATAAAATTATCATCAAAACAAGATATATCTACCTTGTAGGGATCTTCATTTTTGTTGGGATGCTTTCCAATTTGAATGCGTTTAATAATGTCAACATCATCATTTGAGAGAACAACTTTTTGACCAGTGAGCTTATTAACCACGGTCCTCCTAGAAGAAAAAAAAAAAAAAAAAAAAAAATTTTAAAAATAGCACAAATATATTGAATTTTTTCCATCAAGAAGCAAATACCACAAGAAGAATTCTGAAAAATCAATGGCGCAGAGTGAAAATAGAGGTATGACCAACCAATCCATGTATAACAGCTTTCTTAGGAAGGGATAAAAGCAATTTGATCATAGAAATTTATAGTGCAGTGCACGGAAAAAATTCCTCCCACATAATGGTAAGATATTAGTGTCTTCATTCAGCTAATGTCTTACCATTATGTTGAAGGTATTTATGCTGATCCTGTATTTGTCTCGTGTATTGAGCAAGTTTGTCCATCCCAGAAGGATGTGCTGAAAAGTTCTAGGCCCAATCCACTTCACAAATCTAACCAAAAGAGTAACAATTGTTTTTAGATTTTTTTAAATCAATCTTGGTCAAGCTGAAAACTTTCCTGCACCTTCTTATAGTAAATATAGCTTTAATAGAAGTAGATATATTCGCCTATAATCCAGAAGAAAGAAGAAAGTTAAGATTTTTAAAAAGTTAAAAAATTTTTAAAAATTAAAAATTTTCAAAAAGTATTTTTGTCATCTGCTAGAAAATTTACACAAAATATTCAATTCATAATTCTTGCTTCTAGATGGACAAAAAGGAAACATTTTCAGCCATACACCCACCTTAGATGATTTATACCACCCACACACAAAAAAAAAAATTTCACAGACCAACCCTTCTTGTTTGTTACTTACCAATAATTGGGGTCATCCATTTTGTCAAGAAAATTATCCAACTCATCTCCTTTTGCTGGTTTTTTGATTTTACGACCATCAAGATCATAGCCAATATGATCATAATCATTGTACCATTGCATTGGAATGTTCCCAACAGTATTTCTTATGTCCTGCAGAAAAATGGAGAATTTATATAATTTACCAACATAAAAATAGATTCTCTGAAGTAGTCCCTGTTCAAATCTTGCTGGAGGGCACAATTTTCTTTCATAAGATTTCTCATATTGAACAATTGGTAATTTTTTTTTTTAAAAAAAAAAAAAAAAAAAAAAATAAATAAATAATAATGTATAGTTTAGTTTGTTTTGTTTTGTTTTATGGCATATTAACCTCAATGAGTTATTTAATGCTGACAAAATTTTTATTTCTGGTAATATTTTCTTTTTTCAAATATTTATTGCCAATACTAATTTTTTTTTTTTTTTTTTAACAAAGTATTTCTGGTATTAAAATCTATTTTTACATTTTCATAGTATTTTGAGTCAGGTTGGGGGTCAACTATTTGCCCATAGCTGGGACCCTAATAGGTGCTACCACCATGGGTTAGGGTTGACCTGGGAACACCAGCAATTAAGAGGTGGCTCCATGCTCCTCAAAACCTCCTGATCAGAAGCCTTGCTGCTGGACGTAGTTTATCATCTTACCAAGGACGCAGATGTAGTTTAACGTCTTACCCAGGATGAGACTCCAGTTTGGGAGTAAAGTATTTACCCATAGCTGGGACCCTAACAGGTGTTACCACCCTGGATCAGGGTTGATCTGGGAACACCAGCAATTAAAAAGTGGTTCCACGCTCCCCAAAACCTCCTGATTCAAGGCCTTGCTGCTGGACATAGTTTGTCATCTTACACAGGATGTGGATGTAATTTATCATCATACCCAGGCCGGTTCGAAGGGGAGGAAACCATATTAGAAATATTCCTCAGAAATTACAGATCTACACTTAATCCAAACTCACCTAATGGAAATTGACTAGCAGAAATATTGATAAACCATAAAATTCATTTACACATAGATATCATGGATCCAACTAGAAACCATTCCTGAGAAAGAAACAGGGTGATGGAAGAACATTTAAGACCATCATTATGGAGCAGTGAAACACAAATAAGTACCAGGACTATCTGTACTTGCAAAAGATTGTCACAATGGTAAAGAAAAATTAATCCAAGGATGCATTATACGTTGCTCTGGAAATGTTACATATGACGTGGATATAGTCTTCAGTCTGGGTTTGACATACAAATTACAACCATTAAACCTTCCAGAAACCAAATTAAACTCTACTTTACTGTTGGACATTCTACTGGACATCTTTGAACTGCCTCAACAAAGTTTCCAACTAATGCCAAGGGACAAAGATAGAACTCCAAGTGCAACAAAAAAATTCCATCGACTACGAAGCCAGCCATACTCACTGCAATTAAATCCAACAAAAGACATATGAGCACAATGCTAAAAATGAGAGTTCTTAAAGATGCAAACTTACTTCCCTCTATAAAGTACGATAACTAAAACTACAATTGAGTTATGTCCCTTGTCCGCGAGTTGGACTGCGGCACTCTGAATTCAACATGGTGACAAGCTGATATGCACATGGAATTCATAGTTTAAATCCAAACAAATCCTTGTTCTTCTCAGGCATTAAATGAATAAAAGTTGTTTTATTATGTGTTAGTATAGACTTGTCTTATTTTCATTCATTTTTGTTCATCCCAACAACCTGGGATCTAACAATTATAGTCTTGTATTAGTTTTTATAAATAGTATTATTTTATTTGAAAAAAAAAAAAAAAAAAAAAAAAAAGTATTATTTTAAAACATTATGATTTTATTTTCAGAATAATTAATTTTAGTTTCATAAATCATGCATGAATTATAAAATACTTGGATCAATTAAGCCTATAAATCATATTGGTTTAATTTTCAGTATTATTAGTTTTAAACTTACAAATTATGTATAATTTATAAAATCCTTAGAACCTTTTAGTCCAGTGTTTCCCAAAGTGGACGATAGCTCCCCCTTGAGGGCTGTTATGTTGAAAGGAGGCACTGAGAGCGGTGAACATACTTAAATGGTGTTGGACATGTATCCATTTTTTTTTTTTTCAAATTTTCAAAAATTATTCAATATTAGCTACAAAAGGAAATTTCCGAAAGTGCTGTGGAAAGCTATCAAACTTTTCTTCATTGCTTTTTCAATTTCCTATATGGCTGAATGGGGTTTCAACACAGTTACACACCTTACTAAACAAAGAAACCACCCACAAATTACAAAACGAGGTGATCTACGATTACTTCCAAGAAGTATGGAACCTAAAATAAAAGCCTTAGCCAGTAAGCACCAAAGTCAACCATTGCATTGAAAACATTGAGATAAGCTGTTAAGTTTTTTGGGGATTTTAATCATTGGCATTTCTAATAGAAATGAAAACAGTATTAACATTATTTTTACAATAATATCCAAGTGTCATCTTGCTATGAAAGATGAATTCAGTACAATATTCAAAATTTAATTTGACAGGGGGGCGTTGACAAAAAGTTTGTGTCCAAAGGGGGGTGCAGGTTGAGAAATGCTGATTTAGTCTTACCTCTTCATCTGAAGAATCTTCAGCATATTCATCAGTTTTGGTTTTTTCATTCAAAACCTCCACAGCATCCTTTATCGATATCTCCAAATTGGAAGCTTTTTGCGATTCATCTTCTTTTGCCTCACCAAATTCAATTTTATCTTCCACCTCTGCCTCCTCCTCCTCGTCATCAGCGGTAGCTTCATCATTCTCAGATGTTCCATTGACAAAAGCTATTTCTTCCAAGTCCTTATCCTCCTCCTCCTCCTCCTCCTCGTTGCTGCCATCACTCCCTGAAGGGTCACCTTTGTCACTGGATTCATCACTTTCAACCTAGAAAGAACAGAATTTTGTTAACTAAACATTCATTTAAACATATTTCATGCAGTACAGTCCACCCTCTTCCAACTGAAGTACTTGGGACCTTGTTTGTTTATTGATTCATTTTCTATGACTTATCAACCCTTTGTGGGTTATTTAAAGCCAGAAAATAACATTTTTTTGTCAAGATTTACAAATTCTATGTTTCTTAAAAAAAAAAAAAAAAAAAAACAAATAAATAAATAAATAAAATAATGAAAATTTATTGTACTAAGTTAGGTAACCTATTACTTACTTGTCTGCACTTCTCCCCAAAATTTGTTTTCGATCAGTCAATGTATACCTATTTTAGTGGATGTGACGAACGGACTAAAAGAAGTCACAAAATTTCATATATGATAAATGACTAGCTTTCCTAAATTTCTGTAAACCAAACCTGTACGAAAGTTACACGAAATTATCTACCTTGCAGTTAAACCAATGTGAAGTTGTCTCCCTTTATTATGATCATGGTTTACTTTGAAGTTTATTTTAATTTTATATGAAAATTTATTGTACTAAGTTACACACCCTAGTAAAACCAACTGTGCTTTGTACTCTTTTACCAGTTTGCACTTCTCCCTAAACTTTGGTTTTGATCAGTCAATGTATGGCTATTTTAGAGGGTGTGACAGAAGTCACAAATATTTTATTTTCAATAGTTTGCTGAAACAATTCAGACATGAAAATCTCATTTAATCAAGATTCTTAGATGCATCACAAGAAAAATTTGTGATTTTAACAAACAAAAACTTAATTTAAAAATAAAAACAATAAAGAGTATACAGAGTTTTGGTTTGAGTTAAGAACAACAGTCAGCAAATCATAATATGGTACGAATTTCAGGTTGGTATCCATCATGAGTAAATACACCTCATGGAAGATGAAACCAGTCTTTAAACCCTTCCAAAGATGATGATGTCTGGAGGTGCAGAGTGGAGTAATGGTTAGGATTGAAGAATCAGAGAGCAGAGTTTCTTACATTCATTTATGTGCCGACACCCTTGGGAAACATACGAATCTCTTCTCCCGCAAGCTATGTGTAAGAAAGCAGGACAAACTGGGTCCTATAGACTTGGGTGGTAACCAGTCTAGAAAACTCTGAATTCAAACCAAAACACAAAATACTAAATAAGTGTGTATACATGCAGTTGGGGGACTGTTTATGAGTCCAAATTCCTACTGAAATGCCTACTATGGATTTGCACGTCTGAATGAATATGATCTCTGCTCCACTTGGTCAGTTTTCGTTTGAATTTGGTGGTTTTGTATGACAAAGTCAGCTCGACAGACTAGGTGAATGCTGCAACAGGTACAGGTATCGGTAACAACACCTTCTTCAAGTGACACTAAGGCAGCACAGAAAAGTAGGCAAGTGAAACTACTATGAGAATACAAGACCAAAGATTTCCAAGTCAGCACCACCTCTAAACCCTCATCATTGGACTGATTTGATTGATTGTTTAATGGCATTTGAACTCCTTATGGGTCATTTAATACCAAAATTTAATATTCTTGGGAGTTTTCAAATAAAAATTTAATTCTACTTTCACAATTGAAAACATGGTAGATGATACTTATCTTTTGTACATATACAGATTTGTGTAGACATAATTACTAGAGGCAGTGATAGGTGTATTTTATTTTGTAATTTTGTTGAAGTTATATTTTAGAATACCATTCAATTTAAGAAATTGTAGGATATTATATGGATTAATGTCATGAAAGAGTTCTTTCATGTTGGTTGATTTTGTTTAGCGGCATATCAACCTCTATGGGTCATTTAATGCCGGAATCTAAATATTTTGAAAACAATTTCATGGCTTCAACTATAGATAAATGTATTGTTGGTCATTTTATTATAAATAGGTATTGTTGGTAATTTTTTAATAGAAAAATGTATTGCTGGTATTTTTTACTATAAAAAGTATATTTTTATAGTGTTTTGCTTTTGTTTGGTGGTTCACTATTTGCCCATAGCTGGGACCCTAACAGGTGCTACCACCCCAGGTCAGGGTGGACCTAGGAACAACAGCATTTAAGAAGTGATTCAATGAAGATCAAACCCTGCAATCTCCAGATCAGAGGACTTGCTGTGTAGTTTATTGTCATACCCAGGACTAGGACTGATTTGACAACAGTGATCACAGGGGACCACTCCAGCAGTGTTAGACTGATGTGTTACATGCAACCAGAGACAAATACATTTGGTCACGCAAAGTTGAGTAATTTAGAGAAAAATTTCATGTTCAGACACAAATGTGGCTACATTAAGATAGTGAACAAATCATGACCCTGGATAGGGTAAAATGAGAATTTGTGAGGGGTTTTAGTAAAAGGATGAGCCCGGAATACAAATTACAAATCAGGGATACTAAAATCAAAATATCTGAAAAGTGTTCTAACAGAGGATAGAAAGTGCGACAATGAGATCCCAAGATGTATTAAGATGGCCAAAGATGCATTCCAAAAGCTAAGCAGAGTATTAAGACAAAAACTTTGTTAAAAACAAAGAAAAGAGTACTGAACTGTTACGCGATGTTTGCCCTCCAATATGGCAGTGAATGGTGGACAATCCACTCAAGATGAAGAGACTTAAAGCAACAAAAATGTGGTTCTACAGAAAGATGGTGAGGATATCATGGACCAAACAACGAGGTTTTGAACAAAAAAAAAAAAAAAAATGCAAAAGGACACTTATACTTAACATCAGGAAGAGGCAGTTGAAATTTCTAGGGAACATAATGAGGTAGGAGGGCTTGGAAAATCTGACACTCACAGGATGGAAAGAGGACAGAGGAAATTAGTGCATAACATGCTTGATGGGCTTGAGTAAATGGATGGTAGAACAGGGTTTGGGAAAAATAACAAAAAGACGAAATTTATTAAGAGCTACAAGATTAAAAGATGTGGAGGGCAGTAATCGTCTACATCCTGAAGGGAAATGGCACATAAAGAGGAATTAAAAGGATATCCAAATTTTACCTGAACAAATTGTGTCTAAAGTAAATCTCTACCACACAAGTATTGAAATTTTATTCCAATAAAGAAAAAAATAAATAAAATCTATTTGCAGGGTCATTTAGGCACACAAGGACTCTTACTCATTGTGAAGTTAAAGAAAAAGATATTTACAGTTAGATTTAAATTAGGAATGAAAGAAATTTATAATGGCTTGCTCAAAATAGAGACCCTAATAAAAATTAAGTTGGGTAAAGGGATAATGTTCATATGAAAACTGGAAGTTACATGTGATAAAATCAAAAGATGTCCTTAAAGGGGCACAATGAAATTTCTCTGGAAATTGTCATATTTCAGCAGTTGTCAGCAGTTGTGGCCAAACATAGCAGCAGTCATCTAGAATGTGGGTAAGTGAGGAGCTACCCCGCCCCACCTGCAAGAGTTGTTTTTTTTGTAACAACAATGTGATGAAAGCCTGGTTCTGCATCTCTTTTAAGTTAGTTTCAGAATAATTGGTAGTTTTTTTATTGTTCTCAACCACAACAATTTTGATTTTGGGGTTTTTTTTTAGGCTTACCTCTCACTCACATGACTCACATCCCAACAACACATAAATGAAAAATGATATTTATCAGCCAGTGACTATATATATATATATATATATATATATATGAATCCCCAAGGCTCAAATCAAGGTATATTGAAAAAAGCCCATCCAAAAATCTCATTGGTTATTAAAGTCTTCACTTTTAGGTAGGGACAAAGGATATAGAATTAATTCTATCATATAAATTTTTGGCAATCTTGAACCTTCATGTACATGAAAAAAAGTGCCAAAAGGACATTTTAGCACCACTATTATCTTAACATTTACTCATTGGCAATGTTTATTGTTTTAAAAAGTAGTGATTAGAATTGTAATAAAGCCTAAACATATGAAAGTTATTTTATACATTTTCTTTGTTTTTGAGAATTGACAACAAAAATAATAAACTATTTATTAGATTGTTTATTGGAATGGTTGGCAAAACATCAGCTAATTGCCAATTGATTCAAATTTTATAAAATGGTAAATAATAAGGATTTCCTTATAGTTGGTTCATATATTTTAATAATTTAGTTTAATGTTTATAAATAAAAAATTGTTTTCACATTTATTTTTTTATAAATTAGTAAATGATAAATATTGCACTGCATTTGTTTTTACAATGTTGCAAATATAAAATTATTTTTGTATCTAATAGTATTTAATATTTTTCTTGTAAATTCCCAAAACCCAAAAATGTGTTTCATATGTTTAGACTTTATTACAATTCTAATCATTACTTATTAAAACAACATTGCCGAGGAGTGAAGGTAGTTAAGATAGGAGCAAAGGTCAAGGCAAAAAACGTCTCTTTGACACTGTTTTTTTTTTTTTGGTCACAATAGGTCAAAATTTTCACATAATCAAAAAGTAAAATTATGTTTGTTTGAGAGGGTGAAAAAAGCTACAGCCAGATCAAGTATTTTATTTCAATTCTTCACCTTATCTTTTCATAGTAACCATTTTGCATGAATTACTTCTCTTGATATATTTTCTTTTTCTTAAGCGTTTCACCCCAAGCAAGGCGAGAAGCCACTAGGACACAAGGAGTTACAGAAGATTTGGAGCAAGATCAGATAGGAGTGATAGAGGAAAGGATGAGGAGAAGGATAGTGGATAGATCAAGACAACTGGAGATGTCGATTGACATTGCATTTGAATAGTTGGAGATTATAGCTATCAGGGAAACAGGAATAGGGAAGGGAGTTCCACAGGCGAGAGGTGCGAAATATGAAGCTACTGAAGTAGAAGAGACGGCTACATTTAATAGTTTCAACAGTGAAAGGGTGAGAGCGGGATGCCAGCCTCGTAGGGCACGTGAATTCATGAAGTCTGGGAACCAGCAAATGCAGCTCATCAGAACAATTACCATGAGAGTATTTGTAAAAAAGACAGAGAGAGGCGACGACATGTCTGTGGGAGAGCGACTGCAGACAAGATGTCAGAACAGGGCCAATTATATTGCATATCCGCCTCTGGATCTTATCAAGAACCCCAAGGCAAACAAAAGGGTCTCCAGACCATATATGACAGCAATACTCCATGCAAGGGTGAATTGTCCCATGGTAAACAGTGAGCATCATAATATTACATGAAATAGACTATATTGAATCAATTGCTGGTCTGCTGCTAGAAATGGTGGGTTCACTGTGTTGTGCTAGACATTTTTCCGCACCAGAATTTATCTCACATTTATAAGTTTATCATTTGTCCTTGCTTTCCTGTCACATCTAGTTTTGTGCCCTCTATATATATATATATATATATATATATATATATATATATATATATATATATATATATATATATAAAATCAGGCAGTTGGGCTCAGTCCAAGTGAGTCAACATTCAAGTATATCTATTTCAAAGCAACAAAAATCTTTCACAGCACATCGTTTTCATTTTTGATTTCAGTTGGATCCCAAATTAATTGTTTTAATTCCATGCCTCAAAATATTAACCAAAATATATTTTGTTAATATTGTTCATAATAAAGAAAGAAAAAAAAAAAAAAAAAGAATGAAATAAAATCAATGTGGCCAGTCAGGCTGCATAGGTCTGAGCCCTATACGAGCTGGAGACATACTTTAATATGCAATGTACTTCTTGCTTTAACTTTATAAATAATCATTTAAAAAATCTCTCATGACTTTTCACAAAACAGATTTTTTATTTCAACTATTTTCAAATGTCCATTTTAAATAATTTATTCCATACAGTATAAGGTATTTTAGCACAATGTATCAACTGAAGAAGGGCAAATTAAATTTGAAACTTCTATACTAACAGTTTCTTCTCTTACACTTATTGTTTGTGTAACTTTCTTCCAGCTTCTTGTTTTTAATGCAATGTCAATTGTTATCTTCAGTTTTCTTAATTCCTCTTCTTTTATTGTTCCCTCACCTTAAAAGTGCCTTCCCCCCCACCCTCATATTCTCTAACATTAAAGAACCACTTGCATCTTTATTGCTTTGCTTAGGATGAAATAATTAATAAAAAAAAAAATAAATAAATAAATAAAAAAAAGATTTGGAACTATAAGTTTCCATTCCTATTTTCAATGTTATATAAATTACAATCTATTTCAGGCAATGTGACTACATGAGTATTACATAAAGTTTGGGGAATAAGAGCAGTGATGATGGGGTAATAACAAAAATTATTTGCCAAATGCTAAAAAAGATCCTTTACAAAATCGAACAACAGATTTGTTTCTTTAATTGGTAAAGATTTGGTTAAGCTAAAACAATGTTTTAAATAAAGAGGACACTTCTACACAGTATCAGAAAGAGGCAGTTGAAATTTCTATGGTATATAATGAGGAAGGAAGGTTTGGAAAATTTGATACTCACAGGACATAATGATGTCAGTATATAACCTACCTAATGAGCTTGTGTAAATGGCTGGCAGAACAGATATTAGGAGAGATAGCAAAAAGAAAAACTTTGCTAACGGCTATAAAAGATAGGAAGTTGTGGAGAGTCAGGATCACCCATATTTTGAAGGGAAACATTAAATAGAAGTTTGTTTTACTTTTTATGAAAATGACTTTTTTTTTCTCCTCTTTGGGAGTTAGCTCTTTTTTGAAAAAAAATAAGGGTTTTTGTTTTTTTTGGTTTTTTAACTATCTCTAAAATGGACGTTCCCGCTGAAGATATTACTTAACCACAGACCCTGTGTTTGTATCCATTCTTATGCAACTGAGTAATTTTCTAAGTACAGAAACAAAAAAAAAAAATGATTATTAAATTAATAATCTAGGATTGGTGTTAGTTGTTGGATTAAATTAGGGATCAGGGTTTTCCCCAAGACCACAAATTAAATTCTTAGTTAAAGAGATAGGGAAAAAATCTTCTTTTGGCTTCCATTCTTTAAAATTTTACTATTTTCTTTAAAAAATATAAAGTATTTAGTAAGGATCCAGTTTAGTATTAAACTTAAATTCAAGTCACATAAAAATAAAAAGAAATGTGCTGTGTGTCCATTCAGGATGTTGGCTATCATGGCTCTTCACAATTTCCTGTCCTTGATGGCCGTTAATAATTTTTTCTTTTTGTTATCTCTCCTAAACTCTGTTCTACTATCCATTTATTTACAGTACACAAAAATGTCAAGAGCTCGTTAGGTATGTTATGCATTGTTTTCCTATGTCCCTCTTGCCTTCCTGCCCTGTGAGTATCAAATTATACAAGCCCTCTTTCCTCATGATATGCCATAGAAATTTTAACTATTTCTGATAATACGTAAGCAAAATATTTTTCCTACATAAAAAAAAACACTAGTTAGTTGACCTAATAATAATCTTCACAGGAAAATAATAGCAGTGTTCATACAACCAATGTCACAAAGATCAAAATCCAATTACCTCTGAACTTTCTTCTTCTTCCAATCCAGAATACACACTTTCTTCAGACTCGCTTTCTGATGAGTCCGTCTGTTCATTTTCGACATCACTCAGGTTTTTATTCCACAGATCGAGCTGAAAACAGACCAATGAATCTTTAAGTTATGATATATAAAGGGAGTTTATCGACTTTTAAAAAATATTCGACTGGATATGTAAGTTGAGGTTTTATTTGGCTATTACAGGGTGGCCCGAAAGTCTTGTCACCCCCTATCAAAAAGTAATGAGAATAAAGAACAAGTAATACAAAACACATGTACTGGATTCAGTTTTATTGACGCTGTCACACATCGAGATCTGTATGAACACAATCATTTTCAAGGCACAAAAAATGATACGGCGTCGTGTCCTGTGTAATATTTTACATACTGTGCTTTGTTGATTGTTGCAAAGAGTCTCCGAACAGCATCCTCCAACTGATAGGTATTATATGGTATCGTTCATGTGAAACTTTCTCCTTAATAATACCCCACAGAGCGTTGAAATAGAAAAATAGGGGTGACAATATTTTCAGACCACTAAAAAAAATTGAATCAAAGCAAAAAAAGTGATGACTTCGAAATTGCAGTGTATAAGCAAAATAACTAAGCCACTTTTTTAATAATATATATTCAGAAGAAATAAAATTGCGAAAGCAAAGAAAATACAAATTCTAAAAATAAATCTTTTTTTTTTTCAGTAACACACATTAACTTTTTGTTTTCTCTCCGACTCAACCCAATTGGTAAAGCTGATTTTAACTCCAATTTTCAGCTATATGCGTTTTAACATATTCGTGACTGTCTACACATTCAAAATTTCGATAAAATATTTTTGAACTTACATCATCTGTTTCCAAATCGAGATTTTCTACCTTGGGAATTTTTCTTTTACCAACCTGTTTCACCATTATGCCTTAATGCCATGTGCGCATAAAGACGTAACTGATCGAGAACTTGCTACCGCTGCACAAAAATAACAAATAACTTTTTTTAAAAACTGCTGAAAAACTAGAAGAAAAGTTTCAGTTCTGAATAATATGCTTAAAATTTATATCCGGAGTAAAAAAAGATGTAAAACTACGTTTTATAGGTATTATTTTCTAAACAGATTATCTATGCATTAGTTCAACCTTTCTTCGTAGTATGTTTTTGTTTTCATGTTAGTGAGAGTTCTTCTAAGGGAGATAACTCTAACCACGCCAGACGATAGCTAAGTGTGGCGCTACATTTAAAACATGTCTCAACAGGAAACAGTCGTATCCTTGGTGAATTTAACAATGAAATATCATTAATCATGAAATTCTTCTGTCTCGATGATTTATAATTTTAAATTAGCCAGCAAAAAAGACAAGGGCAGCAAGTATTTCTTTTGCCGAGCAGAAATCCAATGAACGATGGCCGATTCTGATTTCTCTCAGGTTTTTCGCGACCAAGAATCCGATGAAATCAGTTTGGAAACTTCGGTTCCAACGGACACTTTGTCTCCAGAAAGGGACGATCGTGGCAGGAAAGTCAGGCTAAGGAGAGACGATCGTATTTCTAGCTCGTCGGCAAACAGCAAATATATATTGGAAAAGAAACAGCTTCTGCACGATTTGCAATTGTACAAAATCGAGTTGTCACAGAGAGATATTGCCATTGACAACCTCAAAGCACAACAGATGCAAAAAACGGATGAATTAGAAGAGAAATTAAATGAAGCCCTTTACCAAAAACAAATATTGCAAGTTCGGCTTGAATCGGAACTCCGTCTACAGCAAGTGAGTCATCTGAAAAAAAAATTGGTTATTTTTTGTTTTTGTTTTTTTTAAATCCATGTTCATGTTTTTTTTAATCATCAATAAGTTGTTCTACAAATTGTTGGTTTTTTGGTGGGACAGTTTCTTCGTCTTTGCGAAAACTCGGTTACGTTTTTTTCACTTATGCGCAAATAGTACCCTTTTGGGGGCCAAGGCCCTTCCTTATGAATCAATCTCTTCTCCGAGTTATGGGTTAAATAGTAATTTCAGTCTGTTCATTATCTGTCTGTTCATATCTATTTATCTATCTTCAGTCTGTTCATATCTATGTAGGACATGCGGGTTGTGTAATGGATAGCGGCTCAGTGTGAGAAAGAAATCGGAGAGCCGAGTTCGAATTCCAGTCGGGTTCGTTATTTATGCACAAATACCCTTTTTGGGGGCTAAGGTCCTTGGGAAAGTATGAATTCATCTTTTCTTCCAGTTATGGGTTAAAAAACCTAATGACTTATACAGGCTGCGGCAGAAATACCACCCACATAATGATAAGACATTTTTTAGCAAGGGTGTTTTCATCTAGCTAGCTAAATGTCTATGTGGGAGGTATTTCTGCTGCTCCTTGTATCTGGAAAAATCATTGTTATTCTCAATAAAAATTCTTAATGCAATATTCACTCGCAAAAATAGAAATTACTTAAGCATCAAAATTTAAATAAATGAATCCTACCATGATTTGAACCTCTGACCTGGATATAGGTCATTTTCGGGGTGTTAAATCCTGCTTAGTTTGTGGGCTAGTTTATGTGGGGGCAAACTAAGCAAAATTTTAACCCCACTCCTCGGCATTATTAGTCCGTCACACATAAAAAAAATTTGGGTGACCTAAAAAATTAAAAAGACATCCATATATATATATATATATATTATTGTCATCCCACAATCCTTACTCTTACTCTATATGCAGCCTCCTTTGTAAATCACTAGCGGTTCTTAAGTGCCACTTAAGATTATCGCACAAAAGTTCATAACGGAATCAATTAAGTTGTCAGATCCTTATACGTCAAAACCGACAGGGGAGTCCATTATTATTATTATTATTATTATATGAGATTAAATCAAAAACATGTTAAAAATTGCTACACAATAGCTTTCAAGTTTCAGCACTACAGTTGCGCTTCTTTAGGCGATGGTAAATAACTGGTGAGTAAAAAAATTATTTTAAAATTTTAAAAGCAGATAACAACAAAACAAAATTAAAATGAGGCTTGTAAAAGGGGAAATTTTGATCATGGTAAAATGTGATTTGAAATATAATCCTAGACAATGTCATGAGTGGCAGAAAATCTGATTGCAAATTATTTAAAGCTAGAAAATATTCTTAGGTTTTAAGAAGTTTTGGTGCTAGTATGATATCTACCATCCATTTTCTACTATGGCATGATATCTACCATCCATTTTCTACTATGGCATGATATCTACCATCCGTTTTCTACTATGTTTTCTACTATGGATATCTACCATCCATCTATGGCATGATATCTTTTCTACTATGGCGTTTCTACTATGGCATATCTACCATCCATTTTTCTACTATGATATCTACCATCCGTTTTTTTTTATACAAAAATAAAAAATGCATCTATTTTAATGGCATTTGATATCATTTAAAAAACATCCGTTTTCCTACTATGGCAATAATGATATCTACCATCCGTTTTCTACTATGGCAAAGTTTTTGATATCTACCATCCGTTTAATTAACCCTATGGGGCAGAGATGGATTCATACCATCCGTTTTCATAAGTGAATATAAAGACAACTATGGCATGATTTTCATTTCAATCCATTACATCACCCAAATGTCAAATTTTCTAGGTACTGACTAGGCTTGATGTGTTGGCATGATATTCACCATCCGTTTTCAACGTTGGATGGGATGAAATAACTCTACAATTTTTTTTCTTTCTTTTTGTTAGTATTTGTAATTTAAATGGCATATTTAATTTCCATTTTTCTAAATGGTATTGATATTTAAAACTGTTAAAAGCATGAAAATATGTTAATAAACCATTAGGGGTGTAAGGGTTAAGAGTTAGGATTAAGATTAAAGGCAGTGAACTGGATATGTATTTAGACTAAAAAATCACTAACAATTTTTTTATACAAAAAATTAAAAATGCATTCAAATAGTGATTTTAAAAAGCAGAACCTTGTATTGGATTCTTCTAATCAAGTTCTCCAAAAGGAACGAGATGAAATTAGCCGACAACTCGCATCATGTAAGCAAGAAGTTGCTTTATTAACACAAGACAAAAATTACCTGACGCGACAGGTGAGTGTAATTTATAACTGTAAATTGGCTTTCGTTATTTAAATCTTTTATCTTGTGTAGTGCCTTAGGTGCTAGCTAGATGATGACAAGGAAAACTCCGAATTCAAACTAGGTCCCAAATCTGAGTAAATGAGGTTAGGAATTCTATCGCATAAAATACTTACCATATATGTTGGTGTACAACCTTTTAATCTTAAATAATCCCTCCCAAGAATAGGAGCCTTCTTATGCTCCAGGTATAAAATGTGAACCTTAAATCCTGTGTTTTATGGTAAGTTGTTAGCATGGGAGATTTTTGATGGTAGGCTAGCCTTTGTAACTATCAACACAAATATTTTCTACTGAAACAACTTAATTCACATTATTATAATAAAAAAATGAAAGTATTGTGTAATAAAAGTACTCTTACCTTATGTAATATGTGGTATGATTTCATGGCAACAAAAAACAGATATTTGTCAAGAGAGAAATCCCAAACCATCATTGCCCACTGGAAACAAAGCAACTTCTAACCTTGAAGGGATAGCAATAAGTATATATTGTGGTAGGGGCAACGGTAAGTGTAGACTGTGGTAGTTAATTAACAGTATATCACTTCCCCTTTTTTTTTTTTTTTTTTTGATGATGCTGAGCAGAAACACAACTAGCTGTGTCTAAACTAGCAGATGGTTTGTGAGGAAACATCATTCAGGGTACCGTAATAACCTACCGAAAACACAGTGCCCATTCATGAGGTATTGTAGATTGTGGCAGTTAATTGACAATATCTTCCCACCGTTTTTTTTTTTTTGTTTTTTTTTCATTAGAATTTGAGTGAAAAGAAAGGATATGCTTACTGAATTTATTTAATAAATTCAATACAGTATATTTTAAAATACTATAGGGATGCAGTCTTGTATGGCAAATATAGCCTGAAACCTAAATTTTAACATGAAAATTTTGGAGTCGTCTTATACACTCAGTCACATTTTATGCCAACATATACAGTATTTGGTTATGAGACAACAACAGCCTCACCCATGGTTTGGTATGGTTGCGGTTCTTTGCTCTCCAAGGCATAGACTAAAACTATAGATCTATGTTCAATATGTGTTATTTATATCTCATCTCAATGCAGACGAGCGCTTTGCTCTTCAGATATGGTTGACCATAGTGTTTTTTTAGGGTTTTTTTTTTTCTTTTTAATAGGTATATGCAAAAAGTTCTTGATACTATTTTATTTTTTTATATATAAAAATTTAAAAAAAAAACGTTAGAAATTTTTATACACACACACCTAATATCTTTTCCTTTGGTTATGGCTTTCTTATGTTCCTCAAACCTAATTCTCTGGTGGGGAGGCTTTATATATATATATATATATATATATATTTTTTTTTTTTTATTTTCTATGTTTGGATAGGACATTATAAAATGAATTAAAAGTTCTTTAATCATTAGCTCATCCATAGTAAGAGAGTTGGAAAATTAAAGGAAGCAGCAGTCAGACTGATGCATACATCGGCATATTGTGAATGTCTGGTTTATTCTTATTCATTTCTTATGTCATTATTATTGAGAGCCATGATTAATATGTAGAGAAATAAATATCTACATATAAACCTCTTAACAGAATTTTTTCTTCTTCTTCATCATTATGTTTCTTCTTTGTCCTTGTTGGATTTAGATTTATAAGTTCACCATTTCGCAATGATGTGAACGAGGGCATTCTGCTCTTAGATGTTTTTAAGTCCAAGGGAGAGAACTTTGTTCGTGCATAATTTTCCAAATCATCTCCCCTCCAAACCAAAAGCAAAGAGGTTGCTTCGAAATTATGCATTTAATTGTTTTGGTTTGGTTTGATTTGTTTTACGGTATATCAACACCTCAATGGGTTATTTAATGCCGACAACATTTTTATTGCCGGTGATATTTTTTTTTCCAAAAATTTATTGCTGGTAATATTTTTTTTTCCTTTAAAAATGTATTGTTGGTAATTATTTTTCCTCAAAAAATTGATTGCTGGTATTAAAACCTATTTTTACACTTTCATAGTGTTTTGACCCCAGTTTGGGGGTTAATTATTCGTCCATAGCTTGGACCCTAACAGGTGCTACCATTCCAGGTCACATTGGACCTGGGAACAACAGCAATTAAGAGGTGGTTCTATGTTCCTAAAAACCTCCTGATCAGAGGCCTTGCTGTCGGATGTAGTTTATCTCCTTACCCAGGACACGGATGTAGTTTATCATTATATCCAGGATGGGCATTTAATAGTCTGAATCAATAATGCTTACATTAATTTCTGACCACTGTCAACCTCTAGTTTTCTCGTGTGTGTGTGTGTGTGTGCATAAAACTTCAGATATAAATAAAATATATCTGTAAGAACATGAATAAATACAAAAGGAAAACTTTTCTTTACCAACAAATACATATAAGCAGATATGAAAATAAAAATTAACAACATTAACGACATTTCCATTTACTTGGTATGAAATTACATCACTTATTATCTTCCATTACTTACACAACTTTAAGAATATTTTAGAGCATTCTTAACTTTTATCTCCCTACTGTACAAAAAGTTTATCCTGCCCACAAAGGTGACTGTGATCCCTGAATTTGAATTTGTTTGAATTTCATAGTTGTGTTGTCATATCCTGCTATAGCAACAGAAAACAACTTTGAGTGACATTAACAATAAGTATACTGCAATTGAGAGGCTGTGAAAAAGAATGCGGTAGAAAGGAAAGTAATATTAATAACTAGCTTAAAAGCTGCCCTATCAGGTGGCATTTAACCTAGCTCCTGCAGAGGGCTCTTGAAACGCCTTTTGCTTGTTCAGGAGTTTGAGAGTCCCTAAGTCTTTGCATATTCTCAGCATTGGAAGCTCTCCTGGCTGCTGTTTGATCTGGGTTTTCATTTGCACAAGACTTTCTTTTCCTTGCTGCAGCCTTGGCTCTTTTCATTGCAATCTGGTCCTCTGTTGGCAGAAATTTTTTTTGCGAAGCTTACTGCTGCCATTTGTGATAGACAACAATAAACTACAGAAGACCTCAAAATTGATCACTGCATTTAAGTTTTGCATTAATATTTAAGCTTACCTTTTAAAAGTTCAACAATAATTCCTCTGCCACCACTTATTTTAAAGACAATTTGATATACTCAGGTCCTTACTTTCCAGACAAACAATTATTTTTATCTCATGGGTGACTTTTGCTGGATTTTGCAATTAATTTTGATTATTCTCAAATTTATTTCCAAGTTATAAAAATTGTTATCATACAAAAAATTTGTCGCAAAATATCACATAAAAAAATCGCTAAAAACAATCACAGTAATGAAAAGTTGGAAATCCAGACTTTCATGATTGCGGGTCCAGATCTGGTCCAAAATGTTTTTAATTTACTCACAGTCGACCTGATTCCAAAATGGTATGATATGTTGGGCTACGGCCTCTAGGAGTAAAGATGAAAACATGGACAATTTTATTTTGAAACACTGTAATTTGAGAACAGTAAATTTTTTTCATTTGAACATGAGCTATAGAAAGTCAGAGAGTTGTGTCCCTTTGTTTTTATCAGTAGAAGCCAAGATGACAGAATCCAAAAACAATCATAGTAATGAAAACTTGAAAATACCAAAATTTCAGGATTATGGGTCAGTATCCGACCAAGAATGTTTTTAATTTGCTCACTTAGTCAGCCTGATTCCAAAGCAGTATGATATGTTGGGCTACAGCCTCTTGCAGTAAAGGTGAAAAAGTATGACACAGTGACACACTGACATTCACATTTATTTTATAGATGTAAAGTGCTAAAGGTTAAATTTAAATTAAACATCATTATTTTTTTCCCTCACTTCTGTCTATAAATACATGTTGCAAAATAAAATCCTTACATTTAGCTTAATAACATCCCCCCCACCCCCGGGGACAATACATACTGGTAAAGTAAAATTGCTTTTTTTTTTTTTCACTACCCAACACCAAAATTGAACTCTCGATAGCTTTGTTTTTTATTTCTTTTTTATATTTTTGTCAAGATATTTATTAAGGCCTTGAAACCAATTGAAACAAGAAAAAAAACATGTAATATGCAATTATTTTATTAGAATGCAAAGATTTTCCCCAATTTGTTTAGTTCACCATTATTAACAGCCATGACACAAAATAAGACTAAACAAATTTAAAACAAAGCATCAGTTCTGTATTTGACGAACGTTAATTGACTAATTATTTTTCTGCATTCCTAGGTGAGCGAACTGACGAATCGTTGCAGTTTGTTGGCCGAGAAAATTGAGGAATCCAATTTACAGTTGGAGAATGCCAAAAAATCCCGAGAGGAAATGTATGAAAAATATGTGTCGTCACGTGACTTGTACAAGTGTGAGTACGAAAACAAACTGAAAGATGAGCTGGAAACGATTCGTGCTCAGACAAACTCTGAGATCGAACGACTTCGCACATCTACCAAAGAGCTGTACGAGCGGGAGAACTCTAATTTGCGAGAAGCAAGGGAGATGGCTATCTTGGAGAAGGAAAAGTTTGAAAGCAGCGGGCAAGAACTTCAGGCCAAATATGAACAACTCCTCAACGAGTACCGAACATTACAGATGTCGGGCGAACAAAGGCTTCTAGATTTACAAACCGAGGCGAAATTAAAGGCATTTGAGGCTGAAAGAACTCATCTCGCATATGAAGAAAATTGCAGAAATCTCAAAGAATACCAATTGGAAATTGAAAAGCTCGAAGCAAAATATGAAGTACTGCTTAAGGAATATTATGCTATGGAAGCCGCCAAGAGCAAGAAAATTGCTGAATTAGAATCGGAACTGTCTTCAAAGAATATACGTTTGGATTCCTATGACAAAATTGAACAAGAATTGGACGATCTCGTGTTACAAGCTGCCGAAATTGAGGACGAAACAAATGCTGAAAAAGTGCTTCTTGCATATGGCACCAACATGGGGACAAATACCAAACGCCGTTTAAAGCAGAGTGTTGATTTAGCAAAAAGAGTTCTCCTGCTTGAGCGGACCAATGCAACTCTTAAGCAGGAGCTGGACTCTGAACGTAAGACTGTCAAGGAAAAGGCAGAGGAGGTGAAGTCGTGCAAAGAGCTGCTCGAGTCGGCTCAGCAGCCGCAAAGCTACCTGATCGAGTCAATACAGAGTCGGGATGCGTTGCTGAAGAAGCGCCAGAAAGGTCTGCAGGAAGCGGAACAACAGATCAGCAACCTGCAGGAGGAACGGCTGCAGTTGATTCAGACACAGAACCAAATGTCAGAGGACATCAAACGACTTCTGAGCCATCAGGCAGAAATTGCTCTGATTAAACAGATACTCGCTAAAATGTCCATGACCAACGCAGAAGTCACTGTTGCAGAAAGCGCGACCAATATTTACAAGCCTGGATCCATTTCTTACAGTAAAACCTGAGGACAATATATTTTACTCAATTAATTTTTATTTATTTCTGAATTTCTTTGATGAGGAGTTATCATGATTTGCATGCAAACTATTATTGCTATTACCACAACGTTTCATGCATTGTGCCCTCTGGTCTTCATCAGGTGTATGTTGATGAAAGTAACCTACAGAAAATTTCAAACTGAACCCTTTATTTAATCTATGGAGGTAGACTGTACTCATTTCACTACCCATGTTCAGGGATATCTCATCTAGTTCTTCTTTTAGTACTGTTCAGTTAAACATGGGCAATGGAACAAGATCAATCTATCCCAATAGATTAAATAAATTGTTCAGTTAAAAATTTCCTGCAGATTACCTGGCTCAGCATACCCCGGATGAGGGCTGGAGGATACAACAGCTGAAACATTAGAACAACAACAGCAACAAAGATGAGAACAATAGTCCACATATAAATAATAATTTTTATTTATTTAATTTACCTATCTCTCTCTCTCTTCTCTCTCTCTCCCTCCCTGATCTCTCTCTCTCTTTGTTATATATATATATATATATATATATAAAAGTGAACACTCTATAGAGGCAACAGTCTGAGCACTTTATCCCATAAATATAGCACATCTTAAGACTATATTTCTTCTATCTCTGATATTGAGCACTTTATATAAATATACATATATACTATATTTCTTTTTATATATATATATATATATATATATATAGAGGATTAATGGTATTTATTAAAAAAACATTATATTAAAATAGACAAACCTAAAACTATATGAAAAAAAATATTAATTTTTATTTAAAATTGGAGTTATCATTTTATATTAAACATGAAGGGGGTTTATGGTATTTTTTTTTATTTTTTTTTTTTTAATTAATTAAATTAATTAAAAAAAATTTTATTTAAAAATAAACAGACCTAGAGACAATAAAAATTATAACATATATATATATATATATGATAAGATAAAGAACAAATAGGAAATATTTATCAATTTAACATGTTTCACTTTTATTAAAGTTTCATCAAAGAATGAGTTATGGAGGAAAAGAAGAACAAAATTCTGGTATTTTTACTTTTGGTTTGTATGATTTTCATTGGTAAATATACCAGAATTTCTTTCTTCTTTTTCTCCATATCTCATTCTCTGATGAAACTTTAATGAAAGTGAAACATGTTCGTTTGATAAACGTTTCCAATCTTTATCTTCACGCCTTCATATTTATGCCAATCTGGCAAAGTAAGAGAATTCAATCTAAATCTCCTCAGTGAATGTGGGTGGCTTATTCACTCTCTCCTGGTATTCCAACTCAACATTCAACCAGGGGAATCAACTCCTAATTCGTTGTTTACGAAAAATGAAATTTTTGCTTTAACGCTTGCATTCTCAGCTGCGTAGAACACGTGTCAATTATCATTACCCCCTAAGTCTAGGTCACTTTTCCATTGTTCAAACTGCTCAACATACAATTCAAGTCATTTATGTGTGAATTAAATCCTCAATTCTTCCCACGGTTTTTCAGTATTAACCGTTCTAATTACAATGTCTCTCAAAACATAAAACTTTCTTATGTTTTAACAAAACTTACTTCCATTTTACTGCAGCAATGACAAATAGTATCACTCTATGGCTGCCTTTACAATGCTAATGGGTTACAGAACGCACATACAGTAATGGTCTATAACAGGGGTCGGAAACCTTTTGATAACTACGTCCCGACTTAGGGTTTTAAAATCATTCAGTGTGCCAACAACACACATATTTTTATACAAGTCAAGGTCAATATACGTGTTCTAGAATATATTTTATATAGTAATATAGAGTATATATATACTTTAGTATATATTAAAATTGAAACAGCTAAATATCTTCTTTGCGTTGTAGTAGTTATATGTTTGGACTTTGTGATGTCATTTGCAGCTGCGTGCCATTGGAAATTGCTTGGTATGCCACAGGTTGCTGAACCCAGGTCTATAAGACCATCTTGTCAACAACTGGTCATAAGTGATGCACAATTATGTGTTGTTTAATTTATTGTTTCAATAATTAGTTACAAAAATTCAATGTGCTTAACTTTTTACTGGCCATTGTTCCACTAATGGAACACATTTTAAGAAATTGTTTTTGTCAAACTTGAACCTTTGTGACCGCCAAAAAATGGAGTGTCAAAAAGACGGTTTTTCCATTGACACTGCTATTATTTTAACTACCTCCACTCCCCAGCAAAGTTTATTGTTTTAAAAAACGACGATAAGAATTTTAATAAAACCTAAAGATATGCCGAAAGTGAATTTATACATTTTCTTTGTTCTTGAGAATTGACAAATAAATAGTGTTTAATATTTCTGTTTTTACATTGTTTATTTATAAGAATAATTTTATATTTACAACATTCTAAAAACTAATACAATTGAAACTGATGCAATGAAATATTTATCATTTACCAATTTATAAAGAAATAAATTTGTCTATATTTCTGAGATGAGGTATTATGTACATTATTTACATTATTCGGACTATTGTCCTCATCTTTGTCGCCATATTTATCACAACGTTTCAGCCGTTGTACGCTCCGGCCGTTGTACGCTCCAGCCTTCTTCAGGTGATTGGAATGTCGAACTGAACCCTTTATTTTGCTCACCGGGGTAGACTGTTCTAGTTGCACATGCCATGTTTAATTGATGTCAGTTATTTCCTGTTAATTCCCCTCTCCTAGTTCTCCACCGTGCCATGTGTCTTCAAAGACACATGGCACAGTGGATAAAGGCGTTGGTTAGATCCTGTGACAGGACCCAAAAAGTGAGTTCAATACCTGGTTAAGGCAGTGGAGAAATTTCAGAGGGAAATTAACAGGAGATAACTGATAACTGACATTATCAAACATGGCATATGGAAATAGAACAGTCTACCCCGGTGAGCAAAATAAAGGGTTCAGTTTGACATTCCAACCACCTGAAGAAGGCCAGAGTGTACAACGGCCGAAATGTTGTGATAAATATGGCGACAAAGATGAGGACAATAGTCCGAATAATGTAAATAATGTAAGAAATAAATTTGAAAACAATTTTCTATTCATAGATTTATAAACATTTACTAAATTATTAAAATATGTGAACTAATTATAAGGAAATCATTCGTGTCTTCATATACATGTAAAATCCAGGTTGTAACATCAGAAAAAACACTTACAGTCAACCAATCAGCTTCTTGCCTGTTTCCAAGTTAAATCTACTTGAAATAAAATTAACCTGTTCTCTGCTTTAATCAGAAGGATTGGATCAAGAGAACACCCTGATGTCTGCAACAAAATCTTTGCATTTGTCCTGCGTGTTGGGGGTTTCAATAAATTCTGAAGAATCTGAAATTAATTTGGGCTTTAATAAAAAATGATGACTAAACAAAAGAACAACCATTTTATTTTGCTTCTCATCAAGCCAACTCAGATCATTTGTTCATACCTCTCAAATAAACGTTTTTTTTTTTTTTCATATCTCAATACAGCATCTTAATTAATTTTATTTATTATGTAGCCAGAGAGTTTCCCAAAACTCATCGATGTAATTGTTATATTTGCTTGTACAGTTCTTATTGATAAATCTTTTTTTAGTGTATTTGTATTTATTTGTTTAAAAGATTTCTACAAAATAAATATTTCCATAATAAAAATAAAAATTTTTTAAATGTGTTTATATTTTTTCCTTTTAATATTTCCTATTGATTTCTAAATAATGATTGGTTTTGTCTTGTTTGAATTCTGTCAGGAAGGAATTTCATTATTAATTTTGGGCTAAACTTTACTTTACCTTATTTTTACTTTTTAGTAAGAGTATTTAACTGAAATTCCAATCAAATCCATTGCATTCACTTACGTGCTAATACCCTTGGCAAAGGTATGAATCCTCTTCTCCTCCCCTGAACTATGGGTAAATAGCACGACAGACCTAGTTCTATAGCCTTGGATGGCAACTGGCCTCCTGCAGAAAGAAATGGCAACCTACTGCGGGGGAAAAATCTGTCGCGTCAGTCATGTATTTAAAAATACATGATTGCCTAAGCATGTATCACATGCATGGCACATTACTGACTGATTTAACCAAAAAAAAAGTTATAAGAAGCTAAGCTAAAATGAAGAAAAGACTAACCAAAAATGAATAATGAAAATCCTTCATCTCAGAATTGAAATAATTTAACAAAAGTTACTTCTTTATTCTTAATTCATGTTACTTACTTTAACAGTTGAAAGGAATTCGACCAAGAAAGTTGTGATAAAAAGCCACAATAAGATGAAGAAAAGACTAACCCAAAATGAATAATGAAAATCCTTCATCTCAGAATTGAAATTCATTCTGGGTTATCTTGATGACACTTTGGTTTTCTCGAAAGGTCCAAAGAGCATTTTTGCCATTTGCAGGCCATATTCAAGAGACCGAATGAACTCTGATTAAAATGAATATGACCAAAATGCCTTTTTCCCAAAGATGAAACCAAATATTTGGGATTCCTTATTGATGAGAATGAAGTGAAACAGGATGCATCCAGTGAGAGATCAGAGAGTTTATGTTAGCAATTAGTCATTAAAAGAGATTTATACCAATTTTTTTCAGTAATTGCTACATTTTTTTTTTACTACTAAATGGTCACTCAATACAAGGCCCAAGAGCCACTCAAAGTAGAGGATTTCTAGATGAGGTTGTATGCACATAGGAAGGATATGTAGGATAGTTGAGTATTGACCGTAGACTTGAAGAGGCTAACATTGCTGCATTTCGAGGAAGCATCCTCTCAGCAGTCTGTTCTGCAAAATAGTGATTCTTAGGAAGAAGCTATTTGAATGGAACTTCCTCCTTACCAATGGAATACAAACAGAATGAAGATTGTCCCCCACGACCTGTATATGGTATGCCAGGTTTTAGGTGTAAAGGTCTGAACTGGTAGGGAAGGTTGCTCAGAACGTTTTCCATGGAAAGAGCAATAGTCTTCCAACGTTTTGTCTATGGAAGA